GAATTTAGTATCAATGTTTGTTTGCCACACCGTAAATGCGTTTGTTGTAACTACAGATTAAACGGTATGTTTCAGGCAGAGGTTGAACACAAGGCTAAAAGGCCTTTCCGTAAATTCACATACCGCGGCGTTGACTTGGACCAGCTTTTGGACATCCAGGGGTAAATTATTATCTATTGGTATCCATAAAACATTTTGACTAACAATTATGTTCTTTAGAGAACAGTTGATCGAACTGTTGCACTCACGTGCTCGCAGGCGTTTCTCACGTGGTGGTCTTAAGCGTAAAGAGTCAGCTTTGGTGAAGAAATTGCGCCGAGCAAAGAAAGATGCTCCACCAATGGAAAAACCTGAAGCTGTAAAAACTCATCTCCGCAACATGATCATTGTTCCTGAAATGGTTGGTAGTATCATTGGTGTCTACAATGGAAAAGTTTTCAATCAAATTGAAATCAAGGTTAGAAAATTTTACTTTTTTCATTATACTGAGTTTGTTTATTAAGAGAATGTCGTAATCACTGTGGTCTCCATCTTACATAGGTACGACAATAGTGTGCTGTTAGTTTTGGCATTAGAGTGGATTGACCTATTATAATATTTAAAGATAGATTATTATTTAAGGCCAGACAGGCTTTTTTTATTGATATTATTATTTTTAAGTAAGTTGTGATCATTTTAAAATGAACTGTTGTACGAGATGCAGACTGGGGCCACTATTCCGCTCAGGAAATCTATATTTTACCCGGCCTTTGCCGCTTCGTCTAAGAGTTTCCTTTTTCTCTCTGGTTTTCTCAGCAACACCCTCTCTTTTAGTTTCCATTTTAAACAACCAGTAATGAAGTAAATAATACAAAATCACCAAGCAACACAAGAATAAAATAAAAAAAAGTAAATAAATTCCTTTTATGAATTAAGAACATAACGTTACATTGAACGTATGCAACTGTACCTGTAGTTCATATAGTACCTATCACTTTATCAGCCTATTATCCTGCCAATATTATTTTTAATTTTTTTGTTCAATACCTATATTAATATTATATTTTACTACTATTATAGCTGACACGGCAATGCATCATTGCTATTAATTGCTAGATTTTTGTGATTGTTCGATTCCTTTTGGTTGTAACACACTGAGTAAGCAATGTCTTTTTAAGGGTAAATAATTGTGTACAATATAATTAAGTAAATACTTACTCGCTGGCTAGACGTGGATATATTAATAGATTGGTGTGATTAATGTCAAATTAAGTTATAAATAGAGCATACATTTAAATGCAATAATAAGTAAGAAAAATGCAATTGAATACACTAATATTACAATGCTTAATAAAATTCCCAGAAAAATTAAAAGCCAATTTAAATGAATATAAAATAAAATTTAGATAGGTTTATTTGTTATATTTTGTTATTCATTTTAAGCATTGAAAGCACTGGCAACTGAACCAAAATCTAAAATCTTAAGCATTTGATATAAACAATTTTTCACACTCATGTGTTATGATAAGAAAATACAAAATATTTATATATGTACCAATTTAAAAAAATATATAATAATATCAAATTATTTTTGAGCAACGGTCCACCGGGAAAATTCCTGTTATCCCACCGGCCCAATCCGGCCCTAGTCGTACGTGTGTGAGACCGAGACAACACATGCAGCTACGAAGTCCTCATAAAAATAATTTATTTGTGTATAATTGTGTTTAGCAATAGTATTTTATCATAATATATGCTTTATTTTTCAGCCTGAAATGATTGGTCATTATTTGGGTGAATTCAGTGTGACATACAAACCAGTTAAGCACGGAAGGCCTGGTATTGGTGCCACTCACAGTTCTAGGTTTATTCCATTGAAGTAGATTGTATATTTTTTTTTTTTTCACAATAAAATAACATGTTGTCTAATGTTGGATTTGTTATATCAATTATTCTCATCCTACTTTTTTTTTACTTTAAATTTATTTAAATTAATACATTTTTTAAAATGTATATTATCGAAGAATTAAAGAAAATAGTAAAGTTAATTAATAAAGAGTAACAATGATGAAAAATTCAAACTTTTCATTGCTAGAAATTAAATTCCTATAAGTAAATGTTGGAATTTTTAGATTTTTTGAATATCAAAAATTATTTATAAATGTTGAATACTTGATGAGTGATCATAGACGTGGTTGAAGGGTATGTGCTTGTGCCTAACCTAATCTCTTGACAATTCCTAAATAACACTTATTAAAATGAATAAATATCAATACTTATTGGTACGATCAATGTTTACGACTTAATTATGTGATGAAAATAATGAAATTACATTCTTTTCAATAATTATGTTTTTATGAAAATTTTACTTTAAAAAAAAAAAAAAAATTAACATGGAATATATCAGAACTTAAATATTTGAACAAATTGATAAAAACCACATCAAATAAATAAAAGAAGTAAAAAAAATACGAGAAACTACTTAGTTATGATTTAATAAAAGTATATGGTCATGTAGACATTTAGTGTGATAAGTTGGTTGATATTTAGATTTTTTAAATCGAATGGTGAAAAGTGGATGAAAATTATTGGTGGCACCATTAGCTCTAGCTGTAATGGTGGCTTTGGGCATAAAAAAAAATGATCAAATGTGTATTTTTATTTATGTGATGTTTAAGATCAATAAAATGAATTCATAAAATAAAAAATCCTCAATTGACTATTGAATATCAACTTATTTATTTTAATACTATATTTTCACATGGTTGTTGTACCTACATTTATATCTACGGTTGCCACAGTACGGCTTTAGACAGTGGAAACTTGATAGAAGGCGAAGATGACAGTAATTTTTTACTACTGTTGTGTCAGATATAGAGAATAATACATTAATAATTAAAAACTATTTCTTAATAACATTTTAAGACGTTATAGTACATTTTTACAAAAAAAAAAAAAAGGTGGGCAAGTGTGACTGTTGTACAGCGAGTTACTATAGTAGGTCATTTTATAATGGATTGCATTAAATTTGAATTCAATGGTATATATCATATTATAAGAAAAACGATTCTGAGCGGAGATGGTCTGTCAACCTATGATATTATTATAAGTAACTATATTTGATGATATTATTATATATTATAACATATTTACGTGCGGAACCTTGTTTTCAATTTTTAATCTTTAGCTACAAAAGTTGAACATTTTTATAAATTTTAAACTACAAAATAATTATTAAATTTTGTCAAAACTCAAATTTAAAATGTTTATAAAAAAAATTGTGCCTAGGTATGTATTTTCAATTGCCAAATAACAATACATCAGATTATCTTGTATTAAATTATCAAGCATTTTTACCCAACAAATCAAATTGTATTGACAATTATAGAAAAAAAAAAACTAAAAGAATTGAAAACTGAGAATGTCCATAGACAACTAAAAATGAGTCAATCTTTTATGATGTATAGAAAATAAAAATAAAAATATTGAGAGAAATTTTCATGTACATACAGTTTTATTCTTAACTCAAAATAATTTGCTAAGTACTTCCTACTTGTATGATATTACTATGATGGGAGGACTTTTCATTACCAGCGGGCAGAGGTTTAATTGTGTTATCACCTAAAGATTCATGCAGTGTTGGTATGACAACTCACGGACTGCTTTATTAACTACTAATATTAATTAATAGTAAGATCTTAGTCTCTAATCTCTATCTTACCCCGTGATAGATACATGCAACATTTTTGGCTGAATCAAGTTGGATCAGCTTTAATTGGTGTCTTTGGTAGTGAAATAAGGACTAAAATTTGGTTTAATCAAGTTATTAAAATTTAAGATTGTTAAAGTAATTTGGAAATCAACTAAATATCTGGGACTTTTAACGGGCTGCCAATACTCATATGAACATGGGCCATGGCGATATTACAAGTCATAAGATGTCTTACACAAATAGGACATGCTAATGATGGGTATCTGAGACGTCAGATTGGTTCTATTTCAGATCATTTATATTTAAATTTTTATACCTTTTACTTATTTTTTTTTAAAATAAGTAAAAAGTAGAACAATTACATTTATTTTAATATTTTATAGTTACCAAAAGCGAAGAGCATCTAGACTTATGTAGTTAATAGTTGAGTTATGATTATGACTTTAACACAATGTATTATAGAAATTCTATAAAAACCACTACAACAGATCACTGTTTCAAGAAATCTTTTGTGGAGGATGAGGAGGGGCTAAAATAAAGTCTGCAGTGATTTTATTTTCAAAGAATTTTAATAGTGATTAAATAATAAGTCTTGAATAATGATAGCTAAATAATATTTTATTTAATACTAAAATACATCAATTAACAATTTGTTAAATAATTTACGATAATAAAATATATTACTTGGTATTATTCTGATCAATTCTTATAATAAAAACTGATAATAATCTAATGCAAATGATTACAGTGTGTAATAAATTGCAATTTATTATTTATTTATATAAAAGGGACTATTCTTAAAGTTAAGCATTAGGTTTCAATACAATTATTTAATATTATTTTAAGTACAATAACAGTATGATAGCAATAATAGTATTTTAGACTATAGTATAGTAATATGTTTTAGTGCATTAATTATAACATTTTTTAATAAATATTATTTCATATAAATCAATATTTATAAAATTGTCTTAAAAGTATTAAAAACACAAAATTACAGTGTCTAGATTTCTAATGGTTGATAAAAAACTTTTAAAATAGTATACATATAATCAAAATATTTGATATTAATATTTTTTAAATATCAACTTTAATAAATAATGATAAATGAAATAACAACATGAAAGGAAGTATTTAAGTTAATGATAAAGTTGTTGTCTACTTTAACAATACATTTTTTTTATAAATTATGTAATCTATTTCATTAATACTGTGTACAACCGATGAAATTAAGCTAAAATGAGAAAACAAATTATTATTACAGGAAAATTTAATGTTCAACTCTCAAAAATAAGGAAATAATAATAATTTAAACAATAGCTTTTATAACTGCATCAGTAAATTCATGAGTGCTGCTTGAACCACCTAAATCCCTCGTTCTCACCTGAAAATTTTTTTTAATTGTTTTAATATAAATGAGAATCAAATTCAACTTATATAAATAATCCAAAACTTACATATTATAATACAAAATTATATTTTAAATTAAAATTAACAATACTCACTTTTCCTGCAGCAAGCACTTCCCTAATTGCATTTCTGATGGATTCACTGTAATGTTGTAGATTAACATGTCTTAACATTTTAGATGCACACATCAACATTGCAGTGGGATTAGCAATATTTTTACCGACGGCGGTTTGGAATACGTGTCTTGCACCCTAAGATAATTATAAAAGTTTAATATCAAATCATTAACTAACTAAATACGATAGTTATTACTGGTTCAAACACAGCGCATTCAGGACTGAAGGAAGAGCTAGCAACAACACCTGCTCCACCTACTAAACCAGCCGCCAAGTTATCTAAAATGTTGCCGTATAAATTGGGCATGACTAGAATATCAAATTGTTGAGGATTGGATACCATCTGCATAGTACAGTTATCGACAATCATAGCTTCAAAGTTGACACCAGGATATAGTTGTTTGATCTTAAAACAAGAAAACATAGTTTAACAAAATAGCACTAAATTTGAAAGATGTATAATTATTTTAAGTATTTAAATAGTTTTATATTTATTAGGTTACCAACTTACCTCTGAACAACTTTTTAAAAACAAACCATCTCCAAGTTTCATAATGTTAGCTTTATGAACACACGTAACACGTTCACGATTATTTCTAATAGCATAATCAAAAGCAAATTTTGCTATTCTCTGAGATTTTGAAGCAGTAACAATTTTTAAACACTCAACTACACCCTAGAAATAATAAAAATATTAAATTCATATTATATAAGTAATGATGAAAAAGTTATCACTTACGTCGACTGATTCATGTTCAAGAGCTGAATATTCTCCTTCTGTAAGTTCACGAATAATTACCATGTCTATATTTTTATGTCTAGAAGCAACTCCCGGCCATGAAACTACATGAACAACATTGGAATATAAATCTAAACCTTTCCTGAGTTTCATATGTAAATTTTGAAGTTCTCCAGAATAGCTAACATCGGGACTCATTAACGCACCCTATGTAATAAATGTAATTTTTATGACGTAAACTATATTTAAAAAAAAAAAAAAAAACAATGACAGCATACCATCAAACAAATTCTATTGCGATTGATTGATTTGATAACATCTTCAACTTTAGCACTGCTAGAATGCTGTACTTCTGAAAACAATATGGTTTCAAAATCAATAGGAGCCCCAATTGCTTTCAGTACTGTTTGGACGGAGTTCATCAGTTCAGGATAGACTCCGTCGCCGGGAATCAATGTACATGTAATTCGGTCAACTGGCATGTTGGAAAATTTATCCTGTAAAATAAATTGTTTAAGTTGAAAATAAAAACACGGCTATAGAATTCATCGGTTTACTTCATTTGGTTCACCAGAAGCAAACGCCCTAGCGATCGGTGACTTGATGCTAACAGCTTTAGCTGCATCCTAGAAATCAATACAAAATAATTTTGTAAAAGTTTTTTAATCAATCAAATAATATAGAGATTAATCATACCAGTGACGACGGAGTGTGGAGACATTTGTTTCCCAATGCATTTTGAGCTGACTGTACGAAAAATACACATACATAAGACACAATACATAATATTTTAATTTTTGTAAGAAAACTGTTGGGAATGAGACGGTAGGTATATTACAGTAAATTATAATACATTTAATTATTATGGTACTTACTCTGTTCATCAGTAGTTTCATTCCATTTTTAAGAATCGACATTTCGATGAAGTCGATTACTTACAGTGTTTGAACGGCGAAAATTGTAGGAAAATGAATTATTGCAGGGTAGAAGAGTAATAAAAAAAAAAACGTACACCTTCGGACCTTCTCGAGAGTAATATTATATTTCTAGATCGCAGTATCAGGGAAAAAGAATCGGTGATCGCGATGTCCAATGAAATCACGGATTTCAATAATTATCATATTGGTGGTGCCCGCTGTAATTGTACCGTATGTACAGCCCTTTAGAGGGTAACAGCTGTAGATAACATCGGCACGACCACAGAACGACGGTACGATTATACTGATAATGAGAACGAGTACTGTTCTTAGTTTCTTACTTCTTTACTTCTTTAGTCTAAGCCCTAAGGAGCATAGATAAAGAAGTAGTACTCAACCAGTACATGACTAAAAAGATTTATTTTGTCATGAACGAGTACTCAACGACGTGAACAGAGACTGAGCGTACTCGAGTCTCGACGTAGTCGACGACGACAATATTTATTTTGAATTTAATTATTGTTGCACATTCTTACATGATTTTTTTACATTAGTTGTTCTGCTATAACGGTTGGACGATTCAATACTTCGATAGCTTAATGCTCTCACGGTAAGAAAATTCGCATCACCGTGATCCGAGACTACATAATAATGGACAACAGTCGTCGACTTCTCATATTGTACGGCAGTCAAACTGGATGTGCCCAGGAGGTTGCTGAAAGGATTTGGAGGGAATCAAAATGGTACATAAACTTTTTCAGTCGTATTAAATGAGTAATTTGAAAAAAAAAATGTTGGACACACTCAAGCCTAGGAGATAATTAAACTACCAAATAGGTATACAAACTACCTATGTTCTTTATTTTTTTCCCTGTTTCAACTGTGATTAATATTTATATGGCAGTTAGCTAAGAAATGAAAAAATAAATATGAACATTTTTTTTAGTGAGAAATGAGAATAGGTACATTTAATGATGGAAACTAATCAAACCTTATGTTCTTATTTATGTTTAACTTACCTACCTATTTGTATATTATATAAGATTTAAAATGTAATAATATATTTTGTTTACTGTTTAGGTTGCATTATAGTGGACCTGTTCTTGCAATTGATGACTATCCCATTGACAAACTAATTTTTGAAAAGAAAATTATTTTTGTTTGTTCAACTACTGGACAAGGTGACCAACCAGATAATATGAAAGCTACTTGGAAATTTCTATTAAGAAAAAATTTACCTTCTAGTTCCTTAACTAATGTTGAGTAAGGCAACTTTTCTGTTGATGTACTAAAGATAAAGTTAACACGTTGAATGCACACCTTTTTTTAAGGTATAATGCAGTTTACTTTACCCCAATGATTTTGTAATTTTTTACAATTGTTCAAAAATATTATCCTATGATGACACTGCTGCCAAAAATTAAATTGCAGTAAGCGACTGCGCGTTTCAAATAAAAGCCACTTTATTGATCATGTAAGGAGATCGGAATTTATGTAATTTTACATTTTATTTGTTATGTATCTATGCATGTGAATTGGAATAAGATGTTTTTATGGTTCATATTACATTGAATTGAAAAGTAAAAAACTCTCTTGTATGAGTACATTAATATTTTTGGTAGTATTTTATCAAATTTTCAAAATCAAAAAAACTAAATTTGTAGTTTATTATGTTGCATTTCTTTACATAAGTTGATAAGTGTACACTTAATGGCATTCAAGCGCAGTCAACGTGTTAAATTAAAATATTATTTGAAAAAACAAGTGTTATTGTATACTATTAATTATAATTTTACAAATATTGTAGGTTTGCTGTTTTAGGTTTGGGAGATAGCTCATATGTAAAATTCAATCATGTTGCCAAAAAACTGTACAGAAGGCTTATACAATTAGGAGGAAAACCATTATGTGATATTGGGTTAGCTGATGACCAACATGATATCGGAGCATTTGCTGTTATTGATCCATGGATAGATAATTTGTGGAATGTATTAATTGAAAAACATCCACTTACAGATGGATTAACACCTATAGACCGAAATTCATTACCGCCACCAAAGTAAATTTTAAAATAAATCAATAACATATTTTCAAAATTTGTGACTAATAAAAATTATATTTAGGTGGAATGTACATACATCAAGTTCAAATATTTCCATCCATACAAGTGACAAGTTGCCTAATAATGACCTATTAAAACCAAATTCAACAATAGTCACTTGTTTATCAAACACAAAAACCACAGCTGAAAATCATTTCCAAGTAATTTATTTTTTATGCATCATAGTAGTGTACTTGGAAATATATTAAGGAGAATAATTTAGGTTTGGACTTGCTGATTTTTGACCCCTCTTTTAAATTAAGATGTATATTATCATAATCATATTAAATTTATATTTAAAAATGTTATTTATAAAAACTTTCTAGTTGCCGAAATATACTTGCTTATGTTTAGATTTGCCATCTTAAATATATGAACACTCCCACTGATAATAACTTTAATTATTATGCATAAAAGTGACAATTTTATATTTACTAATTTTTCATTAAAACTTTATAAATAATAATTTCAAAATAACTGTTGTATCGGCATTGACAGAAATAATATATTAATTGAACTCTAAAGTCGGTGATTCAAGTTTGCTCTATTTTTCCTGGTATCTTAGCCTTTTAAGCTGCAATTTATATCTGCAAGTATATCTTAATAGGTATTTGACTACAATTATACATTTAGATTAATCAATATGTATCACTTTTCTCAACATGAGTTTACTAATTATAATTAATATTAATTTGTATATAAATAATATTTATCATGTTTTTTAAATCATTTATTTAGGATGTACGATTATTAAAGTTTAAATATTCAGAAAACAGTATTAACTATTCACCCGGCGATGTTTTAATGGTTCGTCCAGTTAACTCTGAAATATCCGTGAACAATTTCTTTCAATTGCTGAATGATAATAAGAACATGAAACTAAATCCTACCACAATACTGAATGTGACACAATGCAGCAATGATATGCCTATACCATATAATTTGTGTAAACCATTTACTTTATATCAATGTGCTAAATACTACTGGGATTTAAATGTAAATATTTTTCTGTTATAATAACTTATATATATTTGATGGTGAATACAATTATGCAGATTATACCAAATAGGTATACATTTCAATTGTTGTCATACTTCACGGATAATGAATTGGAAAAAGAAAAACTGAAGGAATTCACTACCCCTGAAGGACAAGATGAACTATATAGCTATTGCAATCGTCCAAGAAGAACTATTCTAGAAGTATTGGCCGATTTTCCTCATGCAACAGCTAAATTATCTTTAGAATACCTTTTTGAAATTTTTTCTCCGATACGTCCGAGAGCCTTTTCAATTGCTTCAGCACCTTCTGTAAGTTTTTATTTATAAATAAAATTACATAAATGATTAAATTGTTTTATAATTATTATGAACTTTGATGTAAAGATGATTGAGTACATGGATATATAGGCTCTGCTTCCCGATATTATTAATTTATGATGTGAAATGGTTTTTTTTTAATTTCATAATGCAAAATATTTAAAAGTAGGTATTATTGCCAAAAGTGCAGGGGACATATTTTGTGCACATCCCTGCATTGTTTGGCCATGATGAATCCCTGAACATTTTTTAAAATATAACGAGAAGGTTTAAAAGAGTCTATACTCTGTACCATTAAGAGCGCACCAGTCAGAACTCGCTCATGACGGACAGCGCTACTCCAGCTTGTGGCAGCGGCGGCAGGGTAGTGTTGACAGCGAATACGGCCGAAAAACGGCAACCAATGATAGAGCGAATAGACCCGGCCAGATGGTCTGGACGTCACTCCGCGTTTCGCTCTTATTTGGTACAGAGTAAAGTTTTTAGTCATGAGTGTAGCCCATAATAGATATCATATTTGAAATGAATAATGTAAAATATTTTGTACATGATGCATATTATAAATCATAATCTATTATTAAAATAATACAATTTTACTAAATATTAAGTTTTATGCAATGAACATGCATTTATTTTATTATTTTTAAGGAACTCATATTTTATTTATTATTTTTTTTATGTTCCTATAGTAAGAGTATTTATGAATAAGAATGGATTATACTATTTTTTTATAATTTATATTACAAAATATATTTAACACATTTTGCAATACGCATGTCTGTATAACAATTAACAGAATATTAAAATATCCGTTAAAATATATATTTTAAGCATTATGTATTATAATATTATACAGTAGTCAACTATAAGTTTCATTTAGCATATTTATGGTGGTTTGCGAGAACATTAAACAAACCGTTAAAGCCCTAAAAAATGACTATAGCAAATTATAAATAAACTTTTTATAAAATTATTTAGTTTTTAAGTTTTAATTATTTATTTATTATCTTGTAGGTACACATAAATGAAATACATTTACTTGTTGCTGTTGTTACATACAAGACAAAATTAGTGGCTAAACGAACTGGCTTATGTTCTACATGGCTTGCTAGCTTAAACATTGGTGATAAAATTCCAGTTTGGATTCAGAAAGGATCTTTTCAGTTTCCATATAGTCAAGTAAATATTTTACTATTAAAATATTAATCAATTTATGGTTAGTTATTAATCTAAACAAAATTTATTTATTTATATTTATTTTTAGTCGTGTAATGTTATAATGATTGGACCTGGTACTGGTGTAGCACCGTTTCGAAGTTTTGTGCATGAAGCTGTTGCTAATAAATGTGGTAACGCACAAACATTACATTTATATTTTGGTGCTAGAAATAGATTGGGTGATTTTCATTGTGTTAATGATTGGGAAAAACTAGTAGCAGACGAAAAACTATCATTGTATACTGCATTTTCAAGAGATCAAGATCATAAAATGTAATTTTTCAATTATTTCTTGAATATTTATCATAAAATAAATAACTTTGTATTTTTGCAGTTATGTACAACACATTTTAGAACAAAACGAAGAAGAATTATTTAAATTACTTTCTACTAAAGAATGTTATGTATTTGTTGCTGGAAATGCAAAAGACATGCCAACTGCAGTTAAAAATGTATTTATAAATATACTTACAAAAAATAAACATTTAAATAACATAGATATGATGGAAACTAAAGGATTTTATCAAACCGAAACCTGGAGCTAATATTTTTAATTTATATCAAACATAAGTACAATTTAATATTGAATATTATATTAATATTAAAGTAATATATTCAATTCAATTAAAATGCAATTAATTTTTTTTTTTTTTTTTACTGCCTTTTAGACCACACATCCAAACATAACTGCCTCCACCCTTCACAATTTGGTGCCAGCATATGCCAATCCTCCTCAGGCAGAAAGACTGCTACATCCTTCCTGACACAAGCCTCCCATCGCATTCGGGGTCTTCCTAGTGGTCTTTTCCCTCTTGGATTCTCTTGTAAGACCGTCTTTGTCAAAGCATCAGGTTTCCTCCATACATGACCTGCCCATTCCAATCTTCTTTTTATCTCCCTTACTATATCTGGTCTGTTATATAGGTGATGTAACTCCACATTGTGTCTTTTACGCCATTCACCTGTTTGCAGGTCACAACATGGTCCATTTATCCTTCTTAATATTTTCCTTTCAAAAACTCTGTTTTGACTCGTCACTTTTCCTTACTGTCCAACATTGTGCTCCGTATAGTACTATAGATTTTATTAGTGTGGTGTATAGCTGAACTTTAAGTGTCTTTGAGAGAATTCTTGACTTAAGTAAGTTATCCATTGCATAATAACACTTGTTACCCATTTGGATCCTTTTAAGTATTTCATACTCCATATTGTTTGATTGGGTGATCATTGTACCCAAATACTTAAATTGTGGTACATTTTTGAATCTATAAGGCATTAATTTATTGAATAAAAATTATTATTGAACTATAGTTAATTTATTGTGTTTATTTTTTTAATGAATACTTATCATGTGGCATGTGTGTAACGGTGTAAGTGTGTTAACGTGCACTTTAAATTCTAATAAAATAGATTATTTATATAAACACATTTATGGGGTGATTTATTTTTCTATTTATCTATTTTTTTTTTTTTTATTGATTTAAAATAGTTATTCCCAATGTGAAATACTGGGATGTACCGCTACCTTGTGGGCTTTTTAATTTTGAGGAAGGAGTTTAATTTTATTAAATTTAAGAATATAAAAATCCAAGGGGGGGGAGTGGGACAGTGTGAGATTTTTTAAAATCTAAAAAGGTTGAGAATCACTGATCTAAAGCAAGGGTCGGCAGTTACGTTCTACATAGAGGTCCAGATTATTTGAATAACTGTGTATAACTGTATAAGTATACATATTATGTAATAATTGAATAATATCTAATACTATAAATATACTATAAAAAAACAATAGGTAAGTCAATACGTCAATACTCGAGGCGCATAGTTATTCAATGTTCACGTGTTTTCATAAATAAACACAGTGAACAGTTATTTCACGATAACACGATTGTGTCTAGATTTAGGCGTCACACACTCATATGCATTCATTAGTAATTTCCTATAATACTCGTGTATTTATCAAATTATTAATGAGCCATGCAGCGTATAAATAGAAATAGTGTACGTATAACGGCTATATAGGGTTGTTAGAATGTACGCCTATATATTTACACGATGTAGGTACGTCTGTGTACCTACATGTATTAGTATTACAGTGTGATTCGTTTAAATATTTATATTAAATTAGAGTGAATTAACATCTTATAAGATTTAAAGGTAGGTAAGACTATTATGTAGGAATATGTATTGTATTAATACAATATTATATTGTATAATATTGTATCATATATTTATATTATATAATAAAGCCCGGATTAAAGATCAATTGGGCCCCGGGACACCATACACTTAGTGGGTCCCCTTCAACTTTAACTTCAAAATAATTGTATCATTACATATCAACGACTTTATATTATTGTATAATTGTTTACTATACAAAAAATATACAGAGTGTAACTTATGTCATTGTACACGGAGTTTTTATTAAAAAATTATGGATGAATGATATGACATTTCGTTAAAATAAAAAAAATTGGAAGATTGGAGAGTGAATATCGTTGGTGCTTGGGCAGGTCAAAATTCAAAATTCCTAGTAATTTTCAAAAGCGCCAAGAAAAACAAAAGAAAAATTAAGGAAAAACGGGAATTTTTACGCAAAATCGATTTTTCACAAAATTGAATTTGGTTTTTGGTGCGACTTTAAATTTTAAAACAAATTACCGTAGATATATGAAATTTTCTGTGGTTGTTTATATTTGCATTTTCTATACACGATAACATTTTCAAAATATTTTGATTTATTTTGAATTGTTTAGGGACATTTTCATTTTCCATTTTTTTTCTAAAAATATCAATAAAATTTTATTTGTTGTTTAAAAAGGCTTGAAAATATAATAGAAGGCTCCTAGTATATTGTTTCAAAGGCAGATGAAAAATATTAAAAATCCTTGGTCACATTTTTTTTTATAAGCATTTAAAGTTCAAAAATTGACAAAATATGAAAAAATCACGAAAATTAGCAAATTAATTTGAGTTAAGAATTCGTAAAAATTTTTCTTTTTAAATCTAAGATATGAAAATGTAATACAAGATTCCTCATAAGATTATCTACCTTTATCAAAAAAAAAAATGACTAAAAGAAAGTCAAATTAAATTTTTATAAGCGTTTGAAATTCAAATTTTTACAACATTGGATATTCACTCGATTTCTCACGTAGCGATTTCCTTATTATGTTGTAATTCAAAAACGAATAACTGTATGTACATGAAACTTTCCCTGAATGTTTATATTAGCATTTCCTATACACCATACAATTTTGAAAATATTTTGACTCTTTTTGAGCTGTTTACTGACATTTACAGTTTTCAATTTTTTTAGTTTTTTTCTTTTATAAATATCAATAAAGTTTTATCTGTTGGGCCAAAATGTGTAAAAATTTAATACAAGGCTCCTGATATATTGTTACAATATCAGTTGAAAAATATTAAAAATACATAGGCGAAAATTTTTTTTATAAGCATTTAAAGATCGAATTTTGACAAAATTTATCAAATTTAAAATTGAATAATTATTTTGTAGATAAAAATTTATAAAATGTTCAACTTTTATATCTAAGGATTAAAAATTTAAAACAAAATTCCACGGAAGTAGTTAATTCTGTTACAAAAAAATCTAAAAAATACATAATTACAGTTTATTTTCATAATCATTTTAAGTTGAAATTTGGATGAAATTACATAAAAAAACCTAGAATAACTATTTTAGTTAGTTTGTTGTGATTGTGTAATATTATTCTTGGTTACTTGAAACTTCTAAAGTGCACTATTATATATCTATGATAGTATCAGGGTTTGTTGTTGATGTATAACGCGTAAGTTATATAAGTACCTAATGGATATTGTGATATGATTAATTTGGAATTTATTATAGGTCAATTTTTTTTCTAATACCATAGATAAGTATATAATATGTCTTAAAGATACTAGACTGACATACCATCTCCGCTCAGAATCGTTTTTCTTATACAATGATATTTTATCATTCAATTCAAATTTAATATCATCCATTATACAGTGACCCACTTGTAACCTACTGTACAGCAGAGCACCTTTTTTTTGTTGAAAACTGTATTGGACGCGTTAAAAATATATACCTATTTTGGAGATAAAGATGGGCCCCGGGACCGTGCCCCCCTTTAATCCGGGCTTGTATATAATATTATAATTTATAACATATTCCTTATAAGGTAATTACCTAGGCAATCTCATTGGCTCTTTATTTTTTTTTTAATTTTAAAGCGACTTATGAGTATTTTAAAATTGTAATTTGTTTGTACATCTTAAAATACTCACAACTCGCTTTAAAATTAAAATATAATAAAAAGCCCACAAGATTCCCTCAATAATAATCTTACCTTTAAATTTCATATGAGGTAAATTCACTCTAATTTTTAAACCAACGGAGCTACACTTGTTCTGCTGAGCGTACAATTTGGTATGTTACGCACTTGTAAGACGGAGACAACATATGCGGGTGAGCCGTCCTCTTAATAGGATAATCATCCTTAGAACACAAAGTTAAATATTTCAAGAAGCCTGAAGAACACGTTCAAATTTTGATTCCGAAAATTATCCTCTAAATAATTTAGAGCAGGAAAGGTTCGGTATAATTGTAGTGTAGCTATCACTCTAAAGTACAGCTAGTTCTATGTATAGTATTTTGTTATACACAACAATTTACCAAGACGTTTAACATTGTAAAAAATTAGATTATTATAAAATATAATTCGAATACAAAATTACCAATATCGAAAAAAAGTTAAAGAATTAGTAATTGTCTAATTGATTTCGCATGACACGAAAAGAAAATTAACTGAACTCCAGAGTCCAGGACAATGATAATTAAGTATTGATTATAAAAAGTTAAGTTACAACAATACAAATTTTATCTAAATAAGTTAATAAGTTAAAAACAAATAAAATTAACTAGTTAGGTTAGTTAACTTTTTAACAAGTTAATGCCCCCCAACTTTACTAATATATTATAATACAGTGATGATTGGTGATTACTGATTAGGTACCTACATATTATACCTAACTAACGAGTACCGAGAGGAATCGTATTTTCTGGATAGCTAGTCGGTAGTCCAGAGTACTACGACTAGTAGTTAGTAGTTAGTACGAGTTATAATAGTTATACATAACAGGGTTTTTTTTTAATGATTTTTTCTGACTGCACAAACTTATTCCCACTCTTGGGTTATAGTAGGGAATTTGTTTACGTAAACAAAACCCTAAAAACTGTTATCCGTTGAACTGTCAGGGGTGGCACCAGTTTGTGCCGGCTATACTTAGTACCTACTAAGTACTAATACCTACTGTTTACTGTACACTGTACTATCTACATTTTTTACTTTCATAAGACTGCATATAGGCATTCAGAAACGATATGTAAAAACATATAAATCTCGACTGTCCAATGATATCTACCAAATAAATCATTTTATATTAATGCACTATTTTTATTGTACATTTGTCAGTGGCGCACCCAAGGGGGGGGCTTTGGGGCTTAAGCCCCCCCCCCCCAAAAAAAAAAAATATTTTTTCATTAAACTACACATTATTATAGAAAATATAGTATAACAATGATAAATGATAATGTTTTTTTTAAAATTTTGTTATTATGTTAGATACACATATAATATATACAAAATAGTTCAATACTACGCGATAAGGTTTGTGACAATCAATATACCTACTCTACGGTGGCTATCGTCGATTTTTATTTCGTTGAAAATTATTTTTAGATTTATAGATACAATAACGATTACGTACGATCGACTTTGATTGTTAACTACGATAACAATGATAATTATGACTTTCGACTGTCTGTGGCATGAAAATCTCGTTTAGATAATTCAGTCTGTTCGATTTTTTACAAAATTGGTTATTTAAAAATTAGTTTTAATTGTTTACTTGTGTGTAAGGGAAAAAGAAAAATTATTAAGCCCCCTCCAAGCAAAAATTCTGGGTGCGCGCCTGACATTTGTAAATAATAATTTTGTATTTTGTTTGTAAATATAAGTAATAATACTTACTAAGTAATATTTACTTGAAATGGGTAATTTTTATTAATAATTGTTTATAAAAATAACAAAAAATCAATTGACTAGGTAGGTACCTAATTTCTTTATAATTTTTTTTTTAAGTTTACTCAATTATTGTCTTATGATATACAATAAAATATATCATCCCGAAATTCTTTTTTTGCACTGTAAAAAATGTGTCTCACTGCACACTAAAAAAAACCCTGAATTACATATAAACATATTGAAATTTGAAGATCGTTGAAACTTGAAATTGAACAGTTCTTTGAAACGTACGCGCGCCGAGGAGGTGGTGGTTACAGTGTGGCGCAGGACCGTTTTTTCCGCGATCTCTTTGAAATCTGTCGTGCCAGTACACCGCCAGTGTCGCTAGAGTCGCGGCGAAATTAATGTCAGACGAGCCAACAACAACAAAGCGATCGGACGTAATCGGAATAATTTTTTTTGTTTTTTTTTGTTTTCGTCGATTTTCTCCAGTCTCGTCGATCGTTATGTGAACATTAGGATAAGTCATCGGCAGACCGACTAGTTTGTACAAATAATATCATCCTCGAAACACGAGCAACGAGCTGCGCGCGCTCCCGCCCCCCAGGCACATCCGACGCGTCCGTCGATAACCAAATTTGGGAGCTGTAAACCGTCCGGCAAGTCGTTCGCAAAATGTCGAATGTCGCCAGTACGTTCAAACACGATTACATAGGCGGTGGAAAGTACCGCGTCGTCCGGAGGCTCGGCAGCGGGTCTTTCGGCGAGATATTTCTCGGGCTCAACGTTATCAACGGCGAGGTGAGAATAATAATAATATTATACGTCGAGCTTATAATAGTAATTGTATGTCATCCTCGTTTTCAACGGCCCCGTGGATACACCACACCGTACCATTCGTGGACACGACACCGACCGTGTGTTTGTTTGTGCGCGCGTGTGCACTTGTACGTGTGCACGTCCGTCCAACATGTTATATATTTATGTGTTCGTGTATTTACATGATTTGAGCGAGATTGAAGTCTGACGGTGGCCCCTCGCAAATGTAGTGGGCACTTGGAAACTTATACAAGTATTATACTTACTACCTAGAGAATCCGTCGACTGTTGTCGGTCATTGCACGGGTAGTTGGCCCCCGATTGAAATCAATATATATATATATATAACCCCCTTGGTATGTGGGCACAGTACGCAGCAATATAGCATTTACTCGGTGACACCTGGTAAACCGTACATGCGTTATCTAGGTGTTTGTATAGCGTTTGTTCTCGTTTGTACGAGATAAATGAAAATACGATTGAACGCATAACTTCCTAGTCTGTGTCATTATGTGAAATGTACCTATATATTGTATATTTAACACGGAATACAAATTATAACTGTTAAACGTAGTCGAGTGCCTAGCAATAATAATATGAATGAGAAATTACCACCGAGATGCTGTGCTAGATGACGTTACTAAAATCTAGAGATAAACTTATTAAAAACATTGCAAAGAAACATTTTTTAGATTAGATAGTATAACAGAAATTAAAAATATTTTCAGTCAAACTCACTATTGCGGATGAAAATAAATTATTAAATGTACAACGCTGGCATCATATTTTAGGGAACATAGTGTGACGCTATGGCATTGCGTGAAAACATTTTGTAGGAAATTCAATATTCTACGGTTTTTCAGAGTTGTCTGTAGTGAACAGAGCAATGAATATGATAAGTAGGTTAATCATATTTTATTTTAAAATTTGATGCATATTTTATATTTATAAATAAATTTACTATAGGGAATTTAGCCTCGGGACACCTGCTGCCCAATAGGTTTCGACATTATCATAATTTCAGTTATATAATTGTTGAATCCTACTGCAATTTTTAAGCATGGTACATTTTTTTACTCTCAATCTGGATAAATTGTTTGGATAAAGCTTTGTACTAACATTTATTATAGATCCTGATTGTGCATTACTTAAGTTTTATCTAAGATTTTAAGAATAGATTCATTTTTAGATTAAATGTACGATCAAAGGAAAAAATTAGTAGGTACTTTCTACTATCTTGAATACAGCCAGTATCAATTTCATTATCTACATTACCACCAGATTGGATGCGAATATACACAATTAATGATTATATAAATTATGGCACAATAGTAGATTGGAATAACAGTGTGAAAAGTATGTGCGGTAAATATTATAGAAAAATAAAATCAGGGACCCAGTAAATATTATTGAAATGTATTAAGGTATGTCTTCCAAGAGAATAGATTGATGCTGAAAGAGTATTAACAGGAGTTAGTTATATAAAATATTCGAGAAACAAAAAGGTACTTATAGGCCTAAACCTACACAGGCGCCACTAGAGACATTTTTCTGGGGAGGTAAGAATTCTATCAGCAGCACATACCCTGATAATTCTAAAATATGATTAAAAAACTGGGGGGGGGGGGGCTACTGATAAACTGGGCTGTTAAGCCACTCTCCTCAAACCACTGCCTAATTGTGCCAATGCTTAAGTACCTATTCTTTTATTATTGCACACAAATTTTCTTTTTTGAATGAGGCATATCAAGAAGGTCAATAAGTATGACTTAGTTCATGAGAAAGTAAAATAATATTTCAAGTTTTACAATATAATATATATATTGATATAAATAGAAGTCTTTAATCTATTTTCAAATTCCAAAATAATTGTAGGTATGTGTATTGGTTCTTCTTAAACAATTTTATTTTTATTTTAATTAAATAATTGAATATACCTAGTTTTAGAACTTCTATTTATTCATAAGCTTTAGGTATTAAAGTATTAATTCAATATTTTAAGTGTTGCAAATTTCTACAAAAAAAAAAAAAATAATAATTTATATTTAATTTTAAAGATTTTAACAATTTTATTATAAAACGTCTTGCAGGTAATTAAAAAGTTACAAGTTCCTACTACAGTCCATTATTAAAAAATAATTTGATGTATCAATAGATTTTAATATACCTTCCTATGGTTCTGATATCAAACCTTGAAATTTAAGCCTTGGTTATAGTATTCAGGTCCAAGGTGTTAAATATAAAACAAAAACATAATATCCTTTCTCAAATATAATAATAATATTATATTATACTACCTATGTATATATTCTACCTAAGTGATACCTTCCTAATAAGCTTATTTATATATTATTATTTATTATTCATTTATAAGAACCTATATACTATTTATGTTAATAACTTTTTGTATATTTTAAAATGAACACCTACCCACATTTATTTTATTATACATTTTTTTAAATTATGGACTTGGGTGATCTTAGTAGCGGTTTAATGCATAAGACCAGTTTAGCACATGAAACATCTAAAGATTCCACCCAGTTTAATTTCATAAAGACTTGACATTAAATATTTCTACATACAACTTGTGTAAAATATATCATTATTCTAGAAAGAGTGAACTATGAAAGGTAATCTAGCAAACTTGTATATCATCATATTTAAAAAAAAAAAATGTTTAAGCATTAAAGTCTAGAGAATAATGTATAATATCGATAGTTAGATACCTAATGATTTATTTGTTTAATATTCTAAAACTTATACATTAATATCTAGATAGTAGGTTTTGTATGATTAAATTATTTTTTAGATACAATTAAACCTATTATCATAGATCTTGTAATTACATTCAATTTGAAAAATGTATATTTATTTTTTAGGAGGTGGCAATAAAATTTGAAAGTGCAAAAGCTCGCCATCCTCAGCTACAGTATGAAAGCAGACTTTATAAAGTATTACAAGGAGGAGTTGGAATACCACATATGAGGTAAGTTAATTTGCCCAAGACAAATTAAATAATGTGGAATTATCCTGTCTTTAACTCTGTTAAATGTTAACTAACGATATTTTTAGCATAGTCATTTGGATAGTTTTTAAGTTTTAGCCAAATATTTATGTACCTATATGTCTAAAATGAAATACAATATCAATAGTTATACCCTGTGTCTCCGCGTGGAAGCACTTCTTTAAAATGCAAAATTTGGAAAATGGGCTTCGAGGTGCACATCATTGTGTATATAGGATTACCTATGTACTACATTTCAGATCCACTGGTGCTATAGACTTACATGTAGATCGCTTACACATAGGTACATACACACACCCAAACATTGAAACATTAGCCTTTTATTAATCTAGGTTAATTGTAGGTTCCTCTAACTCAATTCAAATTCAAAAGTATTTATATATTAAAGTTACATTATAGAAAATTAAATAAGGATTAACATTTTTGCTCAACGGTTATTTCTGAAAATGGCTAGTTATTTTAAGAAGTAGGGTGATCGAAAACCCAGAGGTATAAAGTTATAGAAACCTACTGTTATTTATAAAGTCAATGTCTATACTCAATAGATTCTTTGATTGTGAATCATGCAATTTTTACTATATATAAATAATAATTTTTTTTTTTAATACTTTACTTGAAATGTAAAATAAAAGTATAAGTAGTTAAAATATGTTCTTGAACATTAAAAAAACTATTTAGTAAATAATAATGTCATGTATTTTTAAGGTATGGCCGGGCTTTAAATAAAATAATAATCTTGTATACATCAACTTAAGTAGTCTGAGAGGCCATAAAGCCCATCCTTACTTATCCATTGAGAAAAGCGTAATTGATGCTTGACAAATTAGTCTAAATCAACATTGTTGTCTGTAGACACTACCATTTTTAATTATTTGAAAGTTATGGTTTGTTGGGTTATATTTTAGTACAATGTATAGAGTATAAAATAAAAATAAATCTTATTTATAATAATTTTTAAATTTTGTTGGTAAGAACATTTTGAGCTAATAAAGTAAATGTATGGGTTTTTTTTAATGATTATTAAATTAATTTATTGATTCTATGAAAATTATTAATAAATATTACACTTATTAGTTTTAAATCTATAAATCTATTCAAATAAATTGCTTTGGATTATTTCGTAAAATCGTTATATATTATATATTATTATAGTATATTGTTCTCAGTTTAATTAGGTATTTTACATTTTAATGAAATGTTTTATCATATAATATTATGTTAATTTATCATATTTTGTGTTAGGCTAAGTCATTGTTTCAATATAATCATTTAAGACTGTAAAGAGGATACAAAATCCTCATTTTGTAATATCGGTCTTTATAAATATAGCAAATTTGCTTTCAGAAGAATCAATTTTATATTTGTAGGTTTAACGCCGTGTTAAGTAATAAATCCGGCGAGTGCGTGCGATTTCTATTCTGACCGTGCTGTTCCAATTGCGTCCGATGCGGCGAAATACAGGCTGTTTTTCGACGCATCTGACGCATTTAATTTGGACACGGCGTAGTAATACTAGAGTGAATTGACTTATGATTAGATTTGAAAGTGATAATAATATCATGTTTTTACGTCGTTTTATAGTATTTAAATGTTTAAACAAGGTATGAGCATTTTTAAATTGCTATATTATACATATCTCATATCTCACTTTTAAATTGAAATATCGTAAAAAACGAACGTACAAAGATAATGTGTTTACCCAGGATTAATTGTCTCTATTAATTCACTCTAATAATTAATATTAAATCTAACTACACAATATTTAAATTGTTCTACCAAACGAAAATTTGGTATATGACATAATATGTTATACGTTTTAAGACAACGCATGCGGGTATTACGTTCTCTATAGTTATGTCTCTGCTATAAGTTATTTTTAATAATTATAAAAGTTATTTTAATTGTATGAACGTCATACAATTAAAAAATATTGAGAATTTAATTTTTATTATATAAATTAATATGTGCAGTGGGCCGCACTGGGCTCAGTACACGCATTTATTGGATTATATACTAGACAAAACATAATATTAAAAACTAAAATATGGCTTCATGTTTTTTATCCATCTATAAATATAAAACGATATTACTTTTATTTTTTCATAGAATAAAAAGCAACCAAGTCTAAACTGGCTCCATTACCTAAAATAAAAGTAAAATGTGTAATTAAGTTTACAATCCGTCATGGACATTGAGTACTGAGTTTCTGAATACAAGATTGTATACTATCCTAAATATTGTTTCTTAATTATTGTTGACGTCTTATGATTTTGGTGTATTACAATTATATTTTGTAAGGATTGCTTTTTGGTTTAAACTTTTAAATAAAAATGCAAATTATTGTCATTTTAAAATGTATGATATATTGATATAATGTATGAATATATTATTATGGTGTTTGTTTTTCAGGTTTTTTTTTATAATTAGTATTAATATGCATGACCTGCGGTTATCTTATCTATTTAATCACTGTCCGTGTTCTATCATAATGATACAATTTTAAAAAATCGTGTTTGTTTCGTCACTGCCCGAAATAATGTTAGTCAATAGATAATATTGTAAAATATCCACCCCTCCGCCCAATAAATAACAATAACAGACTATTATAATTTAATAGTATTATTAGTTATTACTTATTAGACGTTTGTTTTGATTGAATACACAATAGGCGACGTTGTACCTATGTATAGTCATACTATTTTGGTTACGTAACGATGTTTTCCCGGCGGCTCTCTCTCCTGGAGCAGCACACTGACGCCACTATAAAATAAGTAACATAATATGTAACTGTACACAGAAAATATAAAATATACAATATAATAACATTATGTACCATTGCCGCGGAATAATACCTATCACGAAACTTTTCTATTGCGCACGGACGACGCGGCAACGTCGCGCGTACCAGTGGTACTGCCGTACTGGTGTACGACTACTACTACTCCGGTCAACAGATGGCAACGTCGCCGTGTAGGGCCATTAAACCATTATCATTGTCTTCGTCTGGGGCCCGTCAGCTGCAGTCCGGCACTCCGGCGTAATATGCGGTATGCGTTCCGTGTCTAATATACAAGATACAACACGGCCGGCCACAGCGTGTGTCGCCGTGAAACCGACGGCCGCGGTTTTTTCTTCAACAGTTTGTTTGTTTGTGTTAATATTCGCGTTTGATCGTTGGCAGGAAATCGAGAGTCCCGAGCTGGATATCGAAACGAATTTAATTTTAGTCGGAACGTTCCGTACCTGTGTGACCCCTCAGACCCCCCCCCGATCACACAAACACGCACACGCTGCAGTTACACGTGCGAAATCTGTACCGCCTAATAACGGCCAATAATAGACGATAATAAAACAGAAGACCGTTACGTGAAAAAATCATGTACATTAGTAGCACTTCATAATATTATATTATAGCTGGTGCCTACAACTGCGTTTAATTGACATTTGTTGTACGCGTGATATAGTCATGCTGGTCGATGATACTTTTTACGCTCTATCTTTGAGCTAATGTTCTAGAATGAACGTACTGGTTTTCAGTGGTGATATCGTAAAACTGACTAAACCGTGAGAATAATATAGGAATATAGCTGCTATTATAGATACATTTCAAAAAAAAAAACAAAATCACAAATCAAATACTTGAACTCTGGAGGATTGCCGAGAATATTGCAAGGTATCCCGGTTAAGGGTGAACTTGGCTGTTAATTTTAAAATGGGGTCGACAATTCCAATAAAAACTGGATGGTATATTATCATATTATATTTAAAATTAAACTTGCCCCTGTAAAATTATTAATTTTGTTAAAAGTTATTATGTGGTTTTTGTTAATTTCATTTTGGAAGTCAATTATTATTTATTTCACAAATTTGGAATTTCGTAGGAATATTAATTCAATTATTTATTTTGGCCTATTGTTTAAAATGTATTAATTAGAAATAATTTATTACGTTTTTGTGTCACAATAAAGTAACTTTTAAAAATCTATTTGAAAACCCTAGGTTTGACTTCATAATATTATGATAATTGTTATCCTGGACATCGTATATATATTCTGTATTATTGAATTATTCAAATGTCAAGGTTATATTTAACATAATATCACCTAAATAGTTAGAGTTTTGCATTTCGATGACCATGAATTCTATTAGTTTAACATTATAATTAATTCCCTAAAAAATTGATCCATTGGGCCCATATAATTATATTTATATTCTGAGTCACTAGGTATAATATTATATCTGCACTGCACAAGGTTGACATAATATTATTATCTTTAACAATACATTTACAAACAAATTGTTCAGATTAAATATTTTTCAAAACATTAAGTTTTAGGCTATTTTTTGTATTATTATTTATATTGTAATTTTATTTTGTTTTAGTACGATATTAATTATAAATACTTTTATTTTATTATATATTAATAAATAATAATTCATTAAATCATTTTTCTTAATTTATTTGTTTATCGTTAAATAACATGAAAATGTTAGTTCATGGTATTTTATGCTATCAAATCATTTAGAATTATTTGATTTATAATGTTAATTATTGTCTATGAACGTGACATTTAGTACTTGTTTTTGTTTTATAGTTACCTATGTCCTATACTGTGTGTATAGTGTGTACGTACTCTATAGTACTATAATGTAATACTGTATAGTGTATACACATTTAATGGTCTGCACTCTGTTGCAATTATTTATAACTTAGCTTACAAAACAGTTGTTTTGATTTAATTCGTATTGATAATATAATATATGATATATTATAATACCCTTTCAAAGGGTAATGAAGCGAAAAATAAAAAATTCTAAAAAGGTTATTAGATTCTGAACAAAGCAATGCATATTGTGTGTATTAGTTTTTCAATGTATATGTTTTTAGCTTTTAGAGCAGTAAAAACGTTTCATTATATTTATTGATGATGGTGGTTTCTGATAGCAAATTGGAGGATTTAGTTAATACTTTGTCTTTCCAATATTTTTCAAAATAATCAACAAAAATAAAAATCGGGGAACTCGCTAGTCACTAAGCTATACAGAAATTGTTGAGTGTTCTTTGTCATTGAGTATAGGTCACTGTAATGTTTATGTTTAACTTGAATTCAATGTTAAATCAATTGAAAAATAATAAAAATAAATCAAATTCCATACGAAAAATGATGAGTGGAGACGGTCTACCGCTTATATTATTATTTATTTATTGCTATTAATTTATTTTTTCTTTTAGTAATATTATGGTAGGTTGAACTAATTTTTGCCAAAAACAAATCGTATAATACATAATTTGGTATGGTAATTATTATAATATTAACAACTGTTATTAACTTATTCAATACGTCCAAACCATTGTAAATAGGTATAAATACATAAATAGCTAAAAATTGATTTAAATATTTTGAAAATGTCATTGTGTATGTTAACTGTTAAGTAATAGATGAATATTTGAATTTTCAACAATTCAAATTTTTTGAATAATCACAAAATTAATTAATTAAATTTCCGGTACAAAAACTGATGAGAAATATTATAATTAAAAAAAAATTACAAATTTACAATATAATTTGATATTTTTCGTGATTTTGATAAATATTAAATTTTTTAAAATGTAAATTTAAATCTAACTCATGTTATCACTGGTACATATTCGAAAATGAAATTTTTTTATAATGTCTTGTATATTCTAGTATGAATATTTGGTAAAAATGTCATTAAGAAGAATGACAAAATAGCAATCCCGTTATTTTTTGGTGTTTTCTAAAAAGTACAAAATATTTTTACTTTTGAACCCACAAACTACCAAATAGATCTAATTTGCTACCAAAAACCACTTTCAAGGAATTTTTACTCCTTCTAAGGACACTAAAACAATCTTTTGTAAATCAATACATTCATCACTTTACTCAGATCAATAATACCGCAGACGGGAATATTTATCAAAGTCCCAAAACCAGTTTTTGAATAAAATCGATTTTATTGTAATTAAAAATCCGTAAGATTTGCCATTTTTTCCTTTTTCTGCTTTTCTAGACATAATATAAACTAGGAAAATAATACAGGGGTCAGTATTTTTCAGAAAAATATTTGCTGGAATTATAATATCCAAGAAGAACAACATTTCTAAAGAATTTTATCTATTTTAATATTTTCTAATTTCTTGAAACGATATTTACAAGAATCGAAAAATTTAGATGATATAAGTTTCTGGAATACTATTAATTAGGATAATATTACTCGGGAGTCAGGACTGGGAAAATGGGGACCGATATTAAATAAGATCTATTTTACAGGATGGGTATTAAGGCCACATATTGCAGCGTCGGCGATTACCGCTGGACGCGGTAACGGCAAAGATTTACACAACGTCAAGATTGTGTGTATTTTTCGGTAAAATAAGATTACTTTATTACTATCAGTCCCGAAAAATACAGTCCTGCATAATATTGTCCCCATCGGCCATCAATACCAATCTCGTAAATTAATATTCCTATTTAATATCGGTTTAGATTTTTAGAGACCTGAGTAATAATATTATTCCTAACAGATACCTATGATTTCGGTAATTTTTTTTTAGTACTTTACATCATCCTGGTTTGTAAGATTACATTGTATTAATTCAAGAAAATACTATTCCTAAATTATATCATTCTGTACAAAAAAAAAAACTCAATATATTACTATACATTATTTTTATGTTGAACAATTTCCTGATTTATTTAATAGCACTCCATACTATTATATCATTGTATTTAAATTTAACACATCCATTATAATGACTTGGTACATTTTAAATCTACTAAACAGTATACTAGCAGATTGACTTCCCCTATTTTCTATATAAATAATAATTTTTATAAATTGTTGGTAAATTCTGTATAACTTTTAGATAAAATAGGTTTATTGTAGTTTAATTGATTATTTTAATATAGATTTTATTATCATAGTCTTATTTAAATATATATATATATAATATATAATATATTATTTTTAGAGATATTCCAATATTTAATGACTAATAAGTTTATCAAATTTGATTTGTTTTCGTCCTTGTATATTATACTATTATAAATTAAGTACTAAGGTGATTAAATTAATTAATATAAATAAATAGTGTTACTTTATCATGAATTCATGAACTAGTATAATATAATATACTACATACACAATACATACATACATAATATGTTAGTTTCTAAGGGAAAATAACGTCAACAATGAAAATTTATCATTATATCTATCTTATACATTTCGAAAGTAGTTTTCATTTTTATTTTAATAATAATTTTAAAAAGACCAGATTTTACTCAAATTTGATACACGTATTTATTTTGTTATACTTATGAGTTTATGAGTATGTATAATTTGAAATCGTAGGCGTCTCCTCCAAGTGTAGTATATTCATGCTGAATCAGTCATCCGTTTCGGTTGCGCAGCGTGTTCCTATGGCAACATTTGATCCAAATAATGGAAACCTCAAAAGTAAATGTAAAATGTTTAAAACTGAAATATTATGTTGTTTATCGAATAGTATATATGTATATACACTTATATATTACACATACTATACAGTATACATATATAATTCAGACAAGGTGAATAATATTGAATGGTATTTATGTTATATAAATGAGAAACAATAGGTCGTTTCCTTGTAACTTTTTGGACAAAGGATATTCCAAAAGTTTTAAAATAAAATGTTGAGTTACGATATATTTGGTAATAATTAACCTTGTTTACGAAATTCTTCGTATTTAATAAATATATTATTATGGATGTTCTTTATTTATAAGCAATTTCATTCTAAATTCTTAATTCTTAATTCTTAATTTCGAAATAATTTATTATTATTTTTATAGGTTAAGCTGGTATAACTGTTGTTTAATTAGTATTGTGTATTAGTTATTTTATTTGTATATAAATATAATATATAATATTATGAATAATCAGATATAATTGCCACAATATCTAATTACTAGTGAAACGGATAAACAATCTATTGCCGCGATGCAATAATCATAATTACATTATTTCGTTTGGCATATTCTTTAATCTTTTGTATAATTTTTGGTCATCTTCAAAATTATAAGCATTTCAGTAAAGTTGAGATTGCAAATATCTACTTAAAATAATCCAATATTTAAAATTGAAATTCCATTGTTCATTATTAGTTATTGTAAAAGACCTATGCCCCGTGGTGGAAAGATTTGCCGTTTAGTGATGATCTCACTACGTTGCCTCGGGTGTACGGCGTTGAGGTTCTTTCCATACAATTTATACATTAAATTTGATGTCTCCCTCGACACGGAAAAAAAATAAAAAATGTAATTCATTATTATGTCTAATTATTATCGCATTTTGGAAAAGTACGATTATTAATTAATTGGAACGTGAGACAATTTTAAGGGTGGACGATTATTTGGGTCCGTCTTGATGATGCAAGTAGGAAATTAGGTTTATAGGTCACCGGGCGGAGTTGCGTATAATAGAGACGCGAGGAAAATATACCACGCCTATAAAACGCTGGTTTCGTTTTCTATTTTCAGGCGGGTTTCACTTTTTTCGACTTTTGTCACCATAAAATACATCTTTGACCTCTATAGATTTTTGAATTTATCATAATATTAATTTTATCGTTGTATAAAATATTTGTGTACCTATTTATCATGCGGTTTGAAAAAGTATCCCTTGTATTAAATTCTGTACATAACTACATGCAAATAAAATATTAATATGTATATAAAATATAAATAATTATAAGTATAACATACATTAATAATATATAGTAATAATAATATATAATCAGGCAAAACATAAAAATGCACAATTGTACAGAATAACAAGAATATTTACTCAAAACCAGTTTTTGACTAAATCTATTTTATTTTTTTGTTCAAAAATGAATAACCATAGATGGATTTGGGTTTTTTACAAAATATTTATATTAGAATTTTCTACACATTCCTAATATAATTCCCAAAATAATTGGAAATATTCTCAATTGACCAACAATTATCTATGTTCTCCCGTTAGTTTTTTACGATATTTTAATTTTAAGTAAATTATGTGCATGTAAAATATTAATATTTAAAAATGCTTATGATTCACTTAAAAATAAAAATAACGTAAAAAACCAACGAGAGAACACAGATAATGTTCTTACATTTAAGTTTGACGATAGTGATGAAAAAAATTGTAAACATTAAAGTAATATAAAAGGTAATAACTTTAATAAGATAAAATTTAATAGGTAATACCTAAAGAAAGTTAGATATAGAAATTTGAAAATATGATTTCTAATAAAGATAGATAAAAAAATAAAATCTCAAAGTATGTTTTTAACTGATTATTTTTTTGGTTTTAGATGGTTCGGATTAGAGAGGAACTACAACATCTTAGTGATGGACTTACTGGGTCCATCATTGGAAGACCTATTCAATTTTTGTTCACGGCGGTTTACACTTAAAACAGTGCTTATGCTTGCCGATCAAATGATCAGCCGTATCGAGTATGTACACTGTAAAAGTTTTATTCATCGTGATATTAAACCGGACAACTTTCTTATGGGAATTGGACGTCATTGCAATAAAGTAAACTATATCATTCTGTTATCATTCTGTATAAATTTCATTAAATATAAATAAAATTCTTTATTTTTAGTTGTTTCTTATTGATTTTGGATTGGCTAAAAAATATAGAGATATGCGTACAAGAACGCATATTTCGTACCGTGAGGATAAAAATCTTACAGGAACAGCCCGTTATGCCTCTATCAATGCTCATTTAGGAATTGAACAGAGGTAATTAGAACGGTGATAGTAGAATATTTAGACCTTAAATGTTATTAAATTAAATTTCTTTTTTTAAATTTTAGCCGTCGGGATGATATTGAATCCTTGGGATATGTACTTATGTATTTTAATAAAGGATGTTTGCCATGGCAAGGATTAAAGGTATAATAATAATATTTTGACTGTGCATGTTTGTTTAAAATACATTTGATAATAACAATAGTGTATTAATAATTTTATAAATTAATATTATTAAATTATTTTAGGCAGCAACTAAAAGGCAGAAATATGAAAAAATTAGTGAGAAAAAAATGTCAACACCTGTCGAATTCCTATGCAAGGTAATATATTTTTAATACGTACTCATATTAGATTCTGAATGGAGAAATGAATGTATTGATTTTACAATGATTTGTGGTTTTTATTTATTTATTTTTTGTGTGTACTGTCTGTACATGATAAATAATGCTTTGATTTTCAACTTCAGTATCTTTACTGGCGAGGAAGTGAATTTAGTTGTTGCATCAGAGAGGTGAAAATTCTCAATATTTTTCTCAAAAGAGTCAGAAACACAAAGACAAAATTATGGAAAACGGGAATTTTTGTGCAATACCTGTATTTGTCTGGATCACCTAACTAAAAGAGATACATGATTTTTTCACCGAATGTTTATATTAGCACTTTCTATACACCATATAATTTTCAAAAAATTTGTTTGTTTAAAAAGCTTTAAAATTTAATATAAGGTTCCTTATAAGTTTTTATAATAGCAGATGAAAAATATAAAAGATAATATATGAAATATATCTGTCAAACCATCTATATCACTGAATTCAAATTTTATACATCCATTACAGTGGCCCACTAGAATGAGTATCATATAAAATGTATCACTAGGTATACATATAATACTGTCTTTTCAATTTTAAACTTGAGTATCTTACCCTTAACTATTTTAAGATAGAGTACAAAACTATAATTTTAGAATTTAATAATCTTCAGATTTGTTTTTATAGTATAAATTATAAATTTAGTTTATTAATTTTATTATTGTGTTGATTAATAGTTGAGAGGAAATTTATTTATACAGAAGCTTTTTTTTTTTATTTTATATTAGATGATTCTTTTAAAACCAAACATTCATTATTTTCAAGTGTTAACTTTTTTAGAAAATTAAAATAATTTGGAATACTAGCATTTTGAAATTTTGTATTTTGAAGTGTTCACTGTTACAAGAATCATACTGTATAGTATTTGTATATATTTTTTCATTAATTTAAAAAATAATACAATTAATACGTAATGTATATAATTACGATTTACGATTTACATTGCAATATTTTAACTCATAATTATAGTTATGCAATTAAATACATTTTAATACTAAACATTATTTTCTATATTAATAATTAGTCAACATAAAACTCTTAAATAACCTCTTTAATTGATTATTTTTAATTTAGGGACTGCCAGCAGAATTTGCCATGTTCCTAAACTACAGCAGAGGTTTAAGATTTGAAGAATCACCAGACTATATGTACTTGAGACAATTATTCCGCATTCTATTTAGAACGTTAAATCACCAATATGATTACATCTTTGATTGGACCATGTTGAAACAAAAGGAGTACAATAATGATGGACAAAGTGCTGCTGTACCACAAGGCGGCTCACCTGTGTCCGGCGCGGCTGCAGCTGGTGGACCACAACCATTTCCCCCCCAGACGTCAGCTACCCTAGGTAACCCATAAACATGAACAAATAAAATGTTAATGGAAAAAAATTATGATCTTTGTTCAATAAACAAACTGAAATATTAAAAAATAAACATCTGTAATTATAATATTCTGATGTATTTTAATTTCCAATGATTACCGATTTTATTATTTCTCTTTCACAGTTTGTTCAATTTTTCAATCGTAATTTTTTTTACTATAGCTAACATAATTTAATAATAACACAAAAAACTTGAGAGAAAAAAAATGTGTGTTAATATTTTTCTAGCTACTGCGAACCAGGCGAGCAAGAACTGAGCCTTCATGTACTTTAATTTTAGCTTTGAATTTATATATTGATATAAATATTTTGCAATTCAGCAACTAATTAAAGCAATGTCAACTCTGAAATTCAAATCTTTTTATTTTTCAATTTTCAAAATTGTGCACAAATATTTAAAAGAAAATCTCTCACATGAAGTGTATAATTTTATATATTTTTTTTTTAGTGTATTACATCATAATGTACAACAATTTTTGTTTCAGGTAATCGCTAAAATTAAAACTAAACAATGGATCCCTTATCCTTTAACCCTCCTGGCCCCTCTATATAAAATGCGATTTTGTATTATTTTTTATTTGCCGTAATTATATAGCATTAAAAAAAAATATGTATATAAATCGCGCCTTCCTCTATTTTGTGGAGTGGAGTGGCCAAAACTGATATACTCCCATCTCTCTTTTTTATTATTATTATTATTATTATTATTAATTCCTCTCATTGACTTTTATTATTATGGAAACCAACTATTTTGAAAATACACGCCCTCGTATGTATTGTCAATTCAAATAAGTCGTACTTCATATAATATATATGTATTTATATTTTATTATATATATACATACATATAAATATAAATATATATATGTTTTTTTTCAAAGTTAAGTATTAGGTGATACAGAAACTTACTTTTAAATTAAAATAATTATATATAAATAAATGTCGTTTATGTATTAAATAAAAATAAAAAACTATAACTCATTTTTATTATTACTTTAAGTTGCATTTAATGTTATTTTTTACTTTGACTCCTATTTTATTGTTTTTGAATTATTCAATTTTCATAAATAGATGCATATATAAAATATATAGTAAAATAATTTCAGAATTTTGTAAGATATTGTGTTCATCATTGTTGAACTATAATTTATGACAATAATGTTCACATAACTTAAGAAGTATTAATGAGTAATTATTTTTATTGATAAACTATTGACTTTTATTGAATTTACTTGGGCGATATGTATTTATTTTATTCACAAGTATATTGTTTCCTTCAGTGTAAAAGTTAACTTAATTTAAGGATTTAATTTTGTTCATATTTTAGTGTTTTACCTATGTATACATGTATATTATTTATATATGTATAATATACATAAAAAGAAATGTGTACATTACTGTACGTTATAGAGATTATGCTAAAATGTTTTCTAGGTTGTATTGTTAAAATAACATATATTTGAATGGGATTACTTAATAATTAACTGTCTCTGTTTAACACATAAAACTAGGCAATTTGTTGTTTTTTAGTTCCAACATATTAAAGAATTTAGTGAAACAATAAGAATTTTTAAAACAGATTAGAGTTTATCATAAAATACTGGTCTACTCGAAATTAACTATTTTACATTTTCCCCCATGAGTACATAAAATATTAATACTTGAATATGCTAATAAGTAAGGCTAGGGTTTCAATGCAATTGTATATTTTTTTTTTGGATAATCTTACACAATGCTTTTCAAGCTACAAATTTGTTAAATGTACTCCATGTTGTAACCCCAAAATTTTTGGGCATTTTAAAATTTTTTTAAGACATTTTTAACTATTTCTCGTATTATGACTAAAAAAATTTACTCCATTGAAATATAAACAATAAACATAGTACTACGTAATAAAAATAATTTTCATTTTAAACTATATAATATCAGGTAATCTGGTTTTAAATTGTACAAGGCTGAAATTAATCTTTATATCACTCACACCAATCAATTAGCTGATATTTTTTACTTATTATTTGATATTTAAACGTACCTACACAATCTTACATATTAAATGCATTTTTTTATATTTTTAGGGTATTTAAATCTGAGCTCTACTCATAATTCACCTAAAAAAATTAGAATATTCTAAAAAATGAAAAACACGTTAAAGTTTCATAATAGTTCAAATCACTCTTAATATCTAAGCTGACCGCACACTGTTGTAACTGGTAAACAACAATTTTCTATGTCGTATGTGTTAAGGCAGAGACAACACATGTGGCTGACGCATCCTCTTAAAAATTTGAAATAGTAATAATGTTATACAGTACACTTTAACCCTGTTCTTGAGGCTACTAGAATAGTACATGGAAGATTACCACAACTAATAGAGTACGAAGTTGAAACAAGACTTTAAACAATGCAGATATGACTGCCACTTGTCACTCATGCTAGACGGTAGTGATTACTTTATGATTCAAATCAGACTACTGGCAATGTAAATGAGTTAATAATCTATAAATGGTAACAATAACTATTTTAGAATATAAGGGATATTAAATTATTCTCAATGTGTTTTTAAGCACCATAGTGACACATTTTCTACTAATTTTTCTCTAGGAATACGAACACCATGATTCTTAATGATGCTGTTCTTCTACCTCCGAACCATAAACCTTTCACCTCCCAATTATCAATCCAGTACATGAAACATAAATCCAAATTCAATTGATGTCTTCCTTGTTAGTGGATTATAAGAATTTCTTCAAAACCTGTTTATTTTTTATATCTACAACAATAAGTCAGCTCTTCTGTTTTGCGTTTCCACAATCCAGAACCACCACAACTTACACTTTGGCAGAGAAAATCAGTGATTTTTTTCGTAAACCTCAAGCTTTTAATACAAAACCAATTACCTAGAGGGATCTTCTCAATCTAGAAGACTGGGTACTTGGGTCACTGCCCACTGGGAATCTATAATTCTATTCATGGCTTAAGCCTTAAATATAGTTAAAATATTCAATCCAATAAGCCCAAGGTAAATTATGATTCCTTGAACAAGCCCGTCTTCCATATTCCATCGTCTTATCATTCGGGTAACTAGATATTCTTGTCATAGCTTATACCATGGTTAGGTGTATAATTCGTATCAATAAATTCTCTTATCTTTTGATAACGTCGTTGATTAAAATAAATATGATAAAACCAGTATACATAATGATAATAATATAAGTGTATAACTTGAATCGTGTTACAACTTACAACTCATATTATGATTTATGATGACATCACTCACATAATAAATTCAAAGCTAAATTGAGTTTTTCTTTTTTATAAAATTATCTATTACACACGATTAAGAGACTTACATTTAATTATAATTATTAATTACTATGTTTAATTCCCGATCTAGTGATTTATTGAAAATTATAATTATTTAAGTCGTTCTTGATGCGTTTCGATAATTTTAGATAGTTTTTATAGTTTATTTTTTCTATTAAGAAATAGGGACATTGTTCTTTGAGTAATTTTTATTGGTTTGTCTGTTTGTTTATTTAATTAAAGCTTGTGTAGAACGTCACTACCTACTGTGTTGTTTAAATTATTATATTTCAAGATGCTAAAAGAATTAAGCACTGTCAGAGAATGCATAGTAAACACAAATGTGACATTAAAGTCTATAATACAGGTAATTTGTTAACGGTACTGTACTGTTTTCAAACATATACTTAAACTTATTTATTATGATTTAAAATGTAGGACATATATTCGTGTGATGGACCTATTGAATCTCTAACACAATTAAATGCTGATGGTAGAAATCAAATTAATGTATTTAGAAATCTAATAGAAAACTTAGAGCTGTATGCTCGAGAAGCGGAAAGTCAACAAGAACGATCAGAAGTTGTAGAAGAAGCCCGCAATCAGAGAGAATATTTAACTAGGTAATTTAAAGTGAAGCTTAACCTTATATACTAAACATAGTATTTGAAATATGAGCACTACCTATTTAAATAAAATCAGTATATTTCTACTTTACAATACACCCATTTTTCTTTTTGAAACTGATGTAGGTAGTTAAGTACACTGAAAACAATGGTGAAGTCAGAATTTGGCGCTCGGGCATACTTTCGAAGTTACAACACTTCAAAGTTAGTATATAAATAGTAGAAAATGATAAGAGTGGATATACGGCGGTTACCCTGTGACCAACTAGAGGTGGTGTTGCATAGTAAGTCGAGGGATAGATCTTGTCGATTTTTTTGTCCGAGTGCAGCGAGCAAGTGGCAACCTGGGCATCACCAAGCTCTTAAAAATGGTATTCCGTAAAGTAGAAAAGTTCCATAAAATCATACAATTTTAAGTTATTTATATGAGTATAATTCTGTAACTTCTATATTTCTATTTTGATACAATATTATTGTGCGAAAATATATGAATACAATTAATTATTTTATACATAATTTATATTTGATGCTTTAAGGCTAGGTTCACATGAAGAGCGTTTACAATAATGAATGCAGCTGTATTATAACGCATGTTTACAGCTTTCCGACGCGTTGAAACGCGTTAACTCGCGTCGTCATTCATCCTGTGTAAATTTTCTAAACGCGCGTTTAACAGCTCTCATGTGAACTAGGCCTAAAAGTGTTAAACCTTTTGCTAAGGATATTAAACAGAGATTATAGTTTGTAGGATTACATTGTAATGTTTATTATTAACATTTTTATACGGTTTCTGTTATTGGGAGATATCTATAAAATATACTGATTTAATTGTACTTAATTTTTAAAAATATAACTTTATAATTAATATTTACTATTGTTTATTGCAATTGCATAGTAACATTGCTTCATTCAGAAAGGCAAATGTAGAATGTATGGCGAGGATTCACAAAAAATCTAGTGAACAGTTGTTAGGTACAAGTAAAGAAGAACAAGTGCGACATAAGTAAGTTGTACTTTAGCAGAGAATAAAATATAAAAATAAAAGTATTAATTTTGATTAGTATTTAAGTATGTTACTTATTTTTAATAATTTAATATCTATGAAAGTATTTTAATACTTACTGTTGTTATAGTTAAGAATTCACTTTCATAATTTTATAATAATTAGTTATCGCTTATTAACAACATTTTTTATAGTTAAATAGTTTTTACTGTCTTAACAAATTAATAATATTGGTAACTCATTTTTTTTTTAACAATATTTTGTTTAAGATTGAAAATGGATAAAGAAAATTTATTAAAACAGTCATCAACCGTTACCAATCAACTATTATCAGTCAGTAGACAACTAGCAAGCACATCTCAACAAAGCTTAGACACTCTTGAAACTCTTTGTTAGTTCATAATATTAAATAATTTTGTATTTGTCAACTAGAATTAATTCTGTTTTTTTTTATTCATTTTCAGTAAAGTCATCTTCAACTGTATCTAATATAAGTAGTGAGATTAAAAATGCCAAAGGAGCATTAACTCAGTCTGAAAAACTTTTAAACAAGTATGGACAACGTGAAACAACTGACAAAATTATTATTATGTTTGCTTTTGCATTTTTTTTATGTGTTATTGCTTATATTATTCAAAAACGACTTTTTTGACGTTAAAAATTTATATTTAAAGTGATATAAAATTTGGTTGACTTAAAATATGTATATAATATAGATAAGGTATATTTTTTTGGATTTACAAAAATGTAATGTATTTAATTTTCCATGATTGAATACAAAAAATGTTGCTCTATTGCAACAAATATTTAAATTCTAAGATATGTTAATAAACAATATTTTTGTTTTATAATTATATAGTTAAATAGTGTTTTTAATCACATGCAGTTATTATCAGCTAGTAGATTAAATATTCAAAAAGATTATTTTTAATCCATTAGTTTAAATGATTTTAAGTACAAATTTCTTTTACAATATTTATATGTACTGTGTCTTATATTAATAGATATTAAATATAAAGATTCTGCGTTGATCCAAAACTGAAACCAATATCAAGACCTATGCACAGTGTAGATAGACAATGCCGCATCAACATATGTCTAATATCTATGCATATTGGTCGTTTTTTAAATATATTTGTTGCAAGTATAGTCTAGTATCCTAGTCTTAAAAGTCAAGTAAACAGGTAACAAAAATACATATATATCTTATGAAAATTCATTTTTTTTTATTTTAATATTTTTGGCATTAGGTAGATTTGTACATAACAATACATGGCTATGAGTTCCTTTATTACAAATTATGAAAGGTTTTCAATATTAAATCAATGAAATAGTTTGATCTTCTTACTTATCTAAAATAGTGTTAATTTGTACCATGTAATTTTCCAAACAAAATTAGATATTGTGACAACATATTATTTAAAAAAATGAAGAAGTAATTATCTTTCTTAGAAAATAATTATTAAGACAATTAAGAATATCAGTACGTAAATACAAAAAAAAATATTATTTAAGTCTGAATCTACGATTCATTTCTCTTCATTACTTCAAGGGGTTTGATAGGCTGAATATAAGTGAAACTGCTTCATTAAATTGTGGTTTATCTAAAAAAATATAAAAAAACCTTCAGATAAAATCATCAATTGTTGATTTTAAAGAGATAACTTCAAACCAGTGGCGTGCTGAACTGACAAGCAGACCTGAGGCAAACTATACAATTTGATCCCCCTCCCCACCACCAACAGTTTTTTCACTATTTTTTTTTTATTATTCAATATAATAAATATTATTAAGTTTTTTTAGGTATAAGTTGCAAATCTATACTAACACACCCACCCACCTATCCAAATTTTCCCTGAGGCAATTGCCTCAAAAAATTACTATTCAGCACTCCTCTGCTTCAAACTATCCATAACTACTTCCACAAATTGAATTAGTGAAAAATAAAATAATAACAATGAGTTTTTCATAAATTTTAGTTCTAGATTATAATATTAATGATAAATTAGTGAAACATCTAAGAAATATATTTCTAAGTAAGCAAATTTGTTAGTCATGTGTCAGAACGTAAGCCCCTCAATGTTGAGGGACATCAAATTCAATTCTGGCCCTTACTAGAACTGTTTTGGCTCTGTAGTTGGTAGGATTGGCTATATTTTTTCATAGGTTCATATTTAAAGGAAAGGTGTCGATATACATTATACTGAACCCCTTCGTTAAGGCCGTTTTTGGGAGGTTTGATAAAATCTATACTTTATGTTTATGATGGGATTACCGTTCCAAATATTCATGGATTGTGTACTTACCAAAATCATCAGTTATTGATGATGGTAAGTTGTAGTAACTTTCTCCAGCTACAGTTCCTTTATCTTTGGCCAAACCATGCACTTCTACCCATCCGTCTAGAGCACTGTCAATCGGTTCATGAAAATTAACGGTCACCACTTGGTCGTCTGTTGTTTGCATTGTTAAGGATTTACCATCGGGACTCACCTAAGAAAACAAACATTTGAATTCAAGTGTCATGTTATAATGTTATGTACTATACCTTCAACACGTTTCCGATTAATGTTACGGCCTTGTCGGTGAATTTCTGCAGGAAAGAACCGTTAACATACGCCCGTGTAGGTATAGTCACGGATTCCATGTTATTTTATTTTTGCACAGTAGTTAAAAAAAATTACAATTTAAAATTTCTTTTAGTCACCGACTTGTGTTTAAAGCGGCCGCGAGTTGCTTACTTGCTTTGGTCACTGTACTGTGATTTGCACTCTACAGTTCAATTTGCTTTATGTTTATGAGGTTTTCCCGGTTTTTCGCCTTCTTATCATGGCTTTGCGATGCTACTATCTATTTATTTGATATTGTGGTATAAATCTTGAGTATACAGTTGTTGGTATAAACCATTGATACCTTATGTTATCTCTATAGCCGGAATAGGTAAATTTCATAATATGATTATAGATAACGTAAATAGTGATTATTTATTATTTAAATAGATATTAAATGTAAATAATACGTAATGTCAAAAATTAAACTGTCAATCTAGTCAAACAAAACTTTTGAATTTTGAATATCAGAATATGTACGAAGATAATGACAATTAATAGTTAAAGTAAGGCACTGTATACCTTATGGTTAAATAGTTAGATTAGCTAGTATAGTTTAGAATCTCAGTAAATACCAAATAAGTTAAGAGTGTTGTAGTTTTGAATTTTCTTGGTGCATAAAGTATTGTTTAATTTCACTACTTCCGGATTCTAATACTCAAATTTTATGGAAAACTAATTGAGTTTCTCATCAAAGTAAGTATTTGTTTTTGATTTTATTAGTGCAACTAATACAATCTTAGATATGCATGAACAATTTAAATTTATGGGGCATATTTCTCAATATATTTTATTTTAGCACGTTCTACAGTTTTATGTTGAAGAATTAATAATGTTTGATAAATTTATTGAATATTTTATTATAATTTTTAGTTCTTGAATTTAAGATACAATTTTTGAATATCATAAAAAAGTATTTTCAAAGTATTTTTGTTTTGTCAAAAACAATTCATTTTAGATACATTTTCTATAGATAATAAAAATATAATTTTCGTATTTTTCTTTAGATATAATTTAATACCTACTAATAACTATATTATATCTTTGAAACTATTAAGTTAAGTCATGGGTGTGGTAGGCATAGGCCAATTTTTTGACAGCATCATCAAATTTTTATTGACTATAATATTATGTCACATTTATTTTTGGATACATTTATTTCCAAGACCTTATCATTTTCATAATAATAATAATAATAATACATAGGTACCTATCAGAATAATAATATATTTTGAAGTCTATTATGTTATAGGTAATTATTTATATTATGATTAATGTGAAAGTGTATACAATTAAGGTTTAAGTTGTACGAATAGAGGGGGGTGTGGGGGGCAAGGCCCCCACTGATCACTTAAGTAGACATTAATCTAGCACCCCCATACATTTAAGCCAAATTGCGCCTATAGTGGTAGGTATATGATTAATTATAGTTTTGTCTGTTTATTATATTTAATTATATTTTTTGCAGATTTTAAGCAAGCTGTCTTATGGATTTCTCTAGTGTTGAATATTATATTATTTTGTGTGTCTTAATTGTTCCGGTCTATTATTTTTTTCAACTTTGGGCATGGCTAGGATGGGAATTGTTTAAGAATAATTAATCATCAAAAATAAAACGTAAGAGTAAAAAACTTATTTAATTTTGTACCAAAAAAAAATTATCTCAAAGTTTTTGAATAATTTCATATGTTAAAATTTTACATAAAAATAGTGAAAATTTCTTTTATCAATATACCTATTATATAATTATTTTCACTAGATGTGTATAATTTATAACAATTTTCTTATAGATTGCTACCCAAAAACGAAAATACCATACTTAGATACAGTAGAAATTGATTAAGAGGACATTACACCCGCATGCGATGTCTCTATCTTACAAAGCCATAACATAGCAAATTGTACGTTCTGAATAATTTGAAATTTAAATTTAAAAAAAACTTATAAGGTTCACTAGATAATACTTTTATTTCTAAAATTGATAAATGTTCTTATATTAAACATACCCTAGTATATAGATTATTCAGAACGTACAATTTGCCATGTTACGCTTTTGTAAGACGGAGACAGCATATGCTGTTTATTCTCCTTGTAACTGGTAGCTTGTTATATTTGTATGGAATGAGAACTTTTATTATTGGAAAGCAAGGAATACAAAAAAATATATGTTATATATGCAATATGTATATATTTTAACGTACAATCAAATTAGATTATCCTAGGACCTAGCGTTTTGCTTGTTATTAACAGTGTCTTGTTCAACCGATGCTTGTAGTAGTGATTTTTACCGTGTATTGATTGAGCCATAGAGATAACTTTTGGAACACTAGACTTTTATAATATGAAATTCTTTGCGGATACAGTAATTATTTTGTTTGATATGTGTACATTATTATGGGTTACATGGATATAGCCAAGGCTTAATTGTTAAAATGTTTATAATTATATTTTTTTTGTACATCTAGGAAATAGTAATCAAACACAATGTCTACTATATTCAGTTCAAGAGTTCTAAATACTTTAAATGAAGAAAAGTAATATACATTTATTTTATATTTAATTAACGTGTTTAACATAATTATAATTACAGAGATAATTCAAGTTTATTTGAAAAAGGAAATTCTGTGTATTCTAACCGATCAGATGTTGTAGACAGAGAAAAGTAATGTCTAGTTGAAATGTATCAAATTATTTTAGTTAACTAAATACAATTTCATTTTCAGAAATATCCCAAACATATTTATTACACCAGAATGTAATCAATTGGATTGTGTTTTGTACTCATCAAGTATAACAAAAAGAGAAAAGTATTATGCTTTAATTAAGTTTGTTTAAATTTGTTATTTATTTAAATATTTTTTAGAGTCATTCCCAATATATTTGATTTCAATGCATTTCAAGCGAGTCCTACAAATACTTTCAATTATACAGATAAATTCTTGTAATTCACTATATATTTTGCTAACCTTACATTATATATTTATTTTAATATACATGTATATTTATTTGCTTACAGTGATTATCCTAATTTATTTACCTTGGACAAGATATATTCAGAACCATGTGGTTACAAAAGTAATATCTGGGAAAAATATGGGTAAATGTTTTTTTAATATTTTTAAAAATTATTTTCATTTACATCATCAACAGTAGCATTATTTTCTTAAAATGAATATCATTAGTTTATTTATTTTGCCATTTGTTATATTTTAACATATTTTACAACTAAAGTGCATGTTTGTTTTTTTCTTTATATATATATATGTATGGTTTACATTTTTATTTGTTTTTATTTGTTTTATATTTTATGATTTTGTTTTATAGTAATTATACAAGTGTATTTAGTCTATCAGATTTTCAGCACACTGATTGTGCACAACATGTAGAGATTAATAATAGGTAATAATTCATATTTCTGCTATGTATTGCCCATTATTATATCCAAGTTGTTTATGGTGTATTTAGGGACCATGCAAAAAAAGAACAAGTATATGAAGATGATAAATTTTCACTTGAACCCAAGGTAATTAAAAAAGTATCTTAATTGCTTTCATTAAATAAATTTAGTTCCTAAAATATCAAAAGAATAAAATGTATTTACTAATAATATACACATTTAATATTTCTTTATATTTATATTTTTAGGAGATATTTATTAGCACCAATTTATCAGAAGTAAATGAATCAAATACAACTGAACAATTTCCTATCGCTGGAGAAGAAAAGATTAGTTCTGCTCTATGTTTTTGGTATATTGCCACGGGTATAAATGTGAGAGATCATAACTTAAAAACATATTTTCCTCAAAGAGAAATTAGTGGCATATGTATCATGCAAGATATTAAACTAATGTTGATCAATATGGGCACAACTTATTTTCTTGTAGATAACGTAAGTATTCTATTTTTTAAACCTAACTTTGTCTCATATAAGAGTAACCTCAGGTGGTGACCGATGTATGTCAAGTTTGGTCAGACCACACCCTCAGACAATCAGTTTTCATTTTCAGCTTTTATTTTTGACAATTTGCCATGGCAGAAAAAATATTTGACCGTGTTAATCTTAGCAAAATGCAAGCTAGGTGGATGTTGGTTTAATGAAGTGGCACTCAGCACGCATTGGCCATATCCATTGTTCCATTGTTGAAGGGGACCTTCATATGCAGAAACCAGCTGCTTGGGGTTACTTTTATTTGAGACAGAGTATAAAATGGTTTATTTTTATTATTAATATATTAAAACCATTATCCCATAACACCTCGGACATATTGTTGTGCAGGAAATTTAATATTAATTGTATTACTAATATTAATTGAATATTGTACCAAATCATATAATACAATTATAATCTACTTAATTTATTTTTATAAAATATGAATAATTATAACTTAGTTAGAAAGTTTAAAACTATGTCATATTTTTAGGAAACACTTATGTACAAACGGAATGGAAACATTAGTATTAGTGGCTTAACACCAGAAATGTTTGAGTCTGCTACTGATCCAATTTTGGAGTGTTCTAATTTATACAAAGTTATCAATATCACAATAACCAAATGGAAGGAAATGTGTGACAATAGTATAGTTCAAGTATAAACATAAATAAATGTTAAGATAATTAGCAGCTTGTAAATGATAATATAAATTTGTTTTATTCCCAGGCATTCATATTTTCTGTATCTAATATATTGGATGATTATGAACGATCAATTTATGCTGTATTAAACGAATCTTTGTTGTCACTTGTTGGTCGTTTATCTTTTATAACTCCTCGCTTACAGTTGTTAGCGAACATATGTAGTATAAAAACACATGGTTGTATGGTCATTCCAGATCGTATACCTTGTGGAATAACATTGTTGAACAAAGTTCATGATTATTTATTTGAATATCGCTTTCCGAATGATTTATTTCTGAAGATGTTGTTGTACATTTTTGAATCATGCTGCTTAGCTTATTTCAGGTACTTTGCTAATATTTTTTTTATTTGTCAATTTGTTTTTGATAAAAGGATTGTTTATTAGATTATTATCAAATTGGGCATTAAAAGGGGTGTTAAATAATGAAGAAACTGGCATGTTTATTAAAGTAAAACCAGATATTGACGATGAAGATTTTGATAGCCGTATAAATTGGAATCGTTTTATAATAGATGAGAGTGTAGAAGTTCCCTTATTTTTAAATAAATACAAACATGATATCTTACATTGTGGAAAAACTATTAATTTCTTCAAAAAATTCAACGATTTAGTAAGTGAAAAAAAAAAGATTTAAATTGTTTTTATTTGTATTATTTATAACTTATAATTATATTTCATTTTTTTTTTTTTAGAATGAGTTTTTACCAAATTTAACTTGTTGTTTCGATGCTGTTGATTCTCAGAAGACTTATGAACAATTTTCAACTTATTTCAAGTATGACCCTTGTTCAAAAAATGGAAATTGTGTAAAAAGAATGTCAAACTGTTATCTATATGAATCAATTGTTGGGTCTAATTATTCAAAAGACAATACTGGTAATTATAAAAATTTAAAAATTTGAAAATCCCAATACATTCAAAATATTTGGTAAAAAGCACAGAAATACTTTTTTATGTAAACCCAGTTTTGGTGAATTGCATTTTTTTTATAGCTATTAAAAAATTAAATAACCATAGAGATGAAATGTTTATAAAATATTTATATTAGTATTTTATAAAAAATATATAATTTTTTTTGTTCTATACTATATGTAGATATTCAAAATTGTCAACTTTTTTCAATTCATGTACTTTAAAATATTCGTTTGTTAGTTATTATTATTACTATTTATTACAACATTTTAAAAGTTGTTTTTATTAAAAATAAAAAATATTATAAATTTAGTTACAATTTTTTGGTGAATTTTGAATTTTGATATATTTGAATATTTACAAAAATAACCGTTTTAGTTATTTTATTTGAATTCATAAAACGTTTGAACTGATTTTATTCTATTTGTATCATGATCTTATTCATACTTTTTAAGGTGCTATTTACTTATAAATTAAACAATAGTATAAAATAAAATAATATTATAAATTATTAATGTTACATACTGTGCTACTAATAAAAAATTACTTGTAGTAATATAAAAAAATATAACATTTTCTTAGAAATAGATGCTGACACACTGTTAACCCTCAAATCATTTTTTTTTTTTGCAATTCAATTTGAACACTCCATTAAATTAACCTATTTAATGAAGTCGAAGAGGTATACTTGTAACTTATTAGTTATTATACAGTAAAGCAACTACCCCAGAATTTAGTTATTAAGACTTGCTTAATCGATACATAAAATATAATACATAATAGTTAATTTAGGTAATATATTTTTTAGTTACAGATGGTTATAGTAATACAACTGAAAATATAACCAATGTTACAGACATTAAAATATATTCTAACAATGAAAGTTATGAATTGTTTCAAATACCCGATTGGACTTCGGTTAATAATATATATGACTTTAATAAACCTTATGGATTTTTTGTGGATCATGACGATTCATTAACATATAATGGAAATATTATTGATGTTATTAACATGATAGACTATGTACCACATTCTATACTAATACCTGCTCGCATACAAAGGAGTGTTTGCGATAAGCAAATATTGGACATGTACTTTTCCCAAGAAAATTTAATGGAACATCTATATTACTTATCCCAGTGCTTCTTTTTAATGAATTGGTCGTTTTCATCTAAACTGTGCATGGCTCTATTTGAAGGTATTGTGACCAACAGGCAACAACCTACTAACATCTTCAATCCAGTCAAGTTAAAATCTATTGTAGATGATGCTATTCAAGATAGTTTTCCAAGACATGAACTACATAATTTGACATTAGAGATGACTTTTATCCCAGGCTTAAATGGATTTATTGATATTTCAGTAAGTAAAATAAACAATAATCAAATTTTTCTTAAGAATAATTTTTAATTTTTATTCAGGATGTGGAATGTATAGAATTAAATTATTCACCTAAATGGCCAATGAACATGATTTTGTCAAACAAAATATTATTGAAGTATAGACGGATATTCTTGTTTGCCAATAAACTGGAATTTGTTTCATGGAGTTTATTTAAAGCAAGGGAAATATTGAATGTATATAAAAATGATACAGGATTACAATTTAGAAAGGTAATTTTAGACATTATACTATACATTATACGTCATATGTGTAGACATGTGTTCATATACAAAATATCAATGTGTGCATTCAAGTGAAATAATAAACATTGTTTAATGTGGAAATAGTATCATATTGGTTTTAAATACTAAAATATAAATATGTGGCTCATTGCCCATTGGTTAATTATTCAGTCACAATATTAATACATTATTTTATGTAATTTTGTCAATTATGTTTATAGATTAATCTTTTTAAACATTGGATGAATCAATTTGTATCATCTATTCAGCAGTATTATAAGCAAGTGGTAATTAGCACATGCTGGTCAGAATTAAACGAAAACTTTGAAAATGTAAAAAATTATGATGAATTATTTACGTATCACAAACAATACATGCATAAAATGATAAAGCGGTTAGTATGATTTAGTTATAGTTATAAGTTGATGGAATTTAAAAATATGTTATTGCTCATGTTAACTAGCATGTGTAAATGTGGCAGCACAACATATAACATCACTGCAAAGCATTATACAATTTAAAGTTTACAAATATAGACTATACTCTGTACCAAATAAGAGCGCACCGGGCGACTCACTCATGACAGAGAGCGCTACCGCAGCGTGTGGCTGCGGCAGCAGGGTAGAGTGTTGGCGGTGAATAAGGCCGACTAACTGCGACCAATGACAGCGAATAGACCCGGCCAGGGGGTCCGGACGTTACTCCCCGATTCATTTAGGTGCGCCAACTCTCTTATTTGGTACAGAGTATAGAATTGTTTATCAATTTTATACTAAAATTTAAGAAAACGCATATTATATTTACATTTTATTGTTAGTGCATACTGTTATGAACGTTCACAGTATTAATTTATGTAATTGTTAAAATATTTCAGTCTTATTTATGGGATTATGTCAAATACCGAAAAAATTCCCAAGATAAATTTTAAACAAATATGTCAATAATCGATTATTATATATTTTAGTATTTACAATCACTACCAGTACTATATTTTCTGAATTTATTTGTTTAAAGGTGTTTCATGATTGTTGGTCTCAAAGATAAACTTATTATGTTGAACAAAATATACATAGAAATATTAGCTTATTATGAAGCATTAGCTAGTGGTCAATTTTACATGAAAAATACTGAATGGTTACATTCAGAGTTCATCAGTATGGAACAGTCTTTTTCTCGGTTTGTAAAGCTAAGAGAAATGTTTTACATGAGTGTATTGAAAACTGTGCAAACCCAGGGAAATCATTATGTAGAACAATTAGAGAGTTTAATTACTATACTTGGACCGTTAAATAATAATTTTACATGAGCAGTAATGTTAATAAACAACCTAAGTATATTTTCAAATTGTTATTAAGTTACCCATATTAAATGTTATTTTTTTAATACAGTTAATGTACTCAAAGTTTTCTAGAAAACAAGCTTCAGTAACTTCAGTTGAAATGTTATGTTATTACATGCACAACAATTTTATACTGAAGACTCACTACTATTGTGTTAACATTGTTAACTATCATATTGATTAATATGTAATTTATTGTTATTTTAATACTAGTTTTTTGTTTTATACTGTATCATAAAATTATATATATGAACTTCCATGATTAAATATTAATGTTTCGATTATATTATATCAATTTATTTATTGTCATACAGAGTCATATTATGTTCTAGGTTGAATTTAATTTTACTACGGAAGATACTTTTCAATAGACATAATAATTTGATGTAAATTGAACAATGCATTTTTATTATAGATTCATAAACTGTGCTTGTGAACCAGGAAAACTTGGTACACCCATAAAGTCTAATATTTGTTAATTATTTATTTTGAAACAAAAATTGTTGTGGACATCAAAATGTTATGTAAATTTAATCACACGTCTTGTAAGCTTTGTTCTCAAGCATTTATAGTGACATACTGACATGTTATTATGTTTATATTAAGGATAACAATATTGAATGTTGTATTTGTATTTATTTCCCCATATATTATGACTATTATACAGGGTGAAACAGGACTATTTAATAAATATAGCAACATTTGTAATAGAAATTTGTTAAATAGTCCTGTTGCAGTGTTGCACCTTATATATACATAATATTTGTCTGTCTGTTTGGCAGGTATATTTGCAACGTTAAAAGTTCAAAACGTGCGACGTGTAGCTCTCTTGCATACCGCCAGAGATAAGGAATGGTCGAAAGGAAAGGTCTTAAAACTTAAAAAAGCTTGGAAGAGCAAAAACCTTTGATAATGAGGTCTGGCGCCTGCCACTCTAGCCAGCATAATATGTGTCGTCCTTTAACTTTTTGGTCAGTATACGCACACTAGTCAACAGTAACAACCTCCCAATGCCAAATCCTTTGAATGATTAACAGGACTTCTATAATCAGTTTGTTTTATAATTTTGATTCACGTACTTTAACCTTTAGGCTTTAGCAGTGGCGTGGGTATTAAAAAGATGTAAGCAGTGAAATTTTTTTTTCGAAAGTGATTAGAATATAGGTACTATACCTAAATATCTAATTATAAATTATGTATAAAAAAATGTTATCCTTTTAAAATTTTTAATATTTTTAAAAATATACTAGTTGTACAAATCAAATTCGAGAAAATAAAGAAATTGAAGTATAAATACTTCAAAAGTCTATTAGGCGAATGACAGTGACAGTGTACGTAAAAACGACTACAGTCTACAACGCGTCGGGCTACGTACTGGTCGCTCCTTGTTTCTCGCGTAAGCAAAATCAAATGTGCTTACAAACGCTAGTTAAATACGTGGCCCCACTATGGCATTATAGACTATTCGAAAACAACAGTTGCGCGTAAGCAATTTCAGAATGTGTTACACTGTATGTATGTACATCGTATTATGATTATGCAGTTAACATAATACAGAATGGATTAAAAATAGACCTACAATCGATGATTTTCTTAAATTAGTTGGTAATCAGTAGACAGCGTACGACACATAGGCGCACATAGGGGGGTGCTTGGGGGTGCTTAGCACCCCCAAGCTTCAAACTAGCACCCTCAGTTTATTTCAGTATTTCACCAATCATTTATAAACTATCGTGGTTTATTGGTTCGGAATTTTTCTTTTCATTACAAATATTGACAACTGTTTACGAATTCACGAATTCATTTTTTTTTTTTTTTGTCTGTCATCATCTTTTAGGACAGTAAAAGTGCTTGGATTTTCTTCAACAATATCTTTTCTGATAGGAAAGTGAATCTAGTTGGTACTTTGGGGGGGTCAAAAGCAAAAATTTCACAGTAGTTTTCAAAAGCGCCGTGAAAAACAAAAGAAAAATTAAGGAAAACCGGGAATTTTTACGCAAAATCTGTTTTCGAGAAAATTGATTTTGGTTTTTGGTGTAACTTTAAAACAAATGACCGTAGATATATGAAATTTTCACTGGTTATTTATATTTTCCATTTTCTATACATGATAAAATTTTCTAAATATTTTGAGTTATTTTGAGCTTTTTACGGACATTTTTAGTTTCCATTTTTTTTAGTTTTTTTTTTTCTATAAGTATCAATAAAATTTTATTTGTTGGGTATAAGAGCTTAAACATTTAATAGAAGGCTCCTAATATATTGTTTCAAAGACAGATGAAAAATATTAAAAATCCTTTCTCACAGTTTTTTGTTATAAGCATTTAAATTCCAAATATTAACAAAATACTACAAAATGACCAAAATTTGCAAATTTTTTCGAGTTAGAAATTCATAAAAATTTTTCTTTTTAAATCTAAGGTATGAAAATGTAATGCAAGATTCCTCATAAGTTTGTCTACCTTTATCAAAAAAAAAATGTCCACAAGAATCTCAAATTAAATTTTTATCAACGTTTGAAATTCATATTTTTACAACATTTGATATTCACTCGATTTCTCATGTAACGATTTTCTAATTTTGTTGTAATTAAAAAACGAATGACTGTAGATACTTGAAAATTTTACTAAATTTTTATATTAGCATTTCCTATACACCAAATAGTTTTGAAAATATTTTGATTCTTTTTGAGCTATTTACGGACATTTTCAGTTTTCAATTTTTTTAATTTTTTTTCTATTCATATCAATAAAATTTTATTTGTATGGTAAAAAAGCTTGAAAATTGAATGCAAAGCTCCTGATATATTGTTACATTAACACTTGAAAAATATTAAAAATACATAGGCCCAATTTTTTTTTATAATTATTTAAAATTCAAATTTTGACAAAATTTATCACATTTAAAATTTAATAATAATTGTATAGTTAAAAATTTATAAAATGTTCAACTTTTATAGCTAATGATTGAAAATTTAAAACAAGATTCTACTTAAATAGGTTATATATAAATTGCTTTATTCACCTTAGTATCATCAAATATACTTAGTAATATCATAGGCTGACTTAACCGTCTTCGCTCAGAATCGTTTTTCTTATACAATGATGTTAGTATATCATTGAATTCAAATTTAATACCATCGATTATACAGTGACCCACTTGTACCCTACTGTACAGCAGAGCACCTTTTTTTGTTTATCAAACTTAAATAACTTTTATTTTGGTTTTGATATCGGAAATATAAAAACAAAGTTACAGAGTAAATTTTCTCATTTTTCTAGTGTGAACATTTAGTTTTTTAGCTTAGAGTAGAGCCTGAATGTTTTTTATACCCGTGCAAAACAGTTTTGCCTATGTTGTACCTATACGTCTGTAATACGAAGACAACACATGTGGGTGTACCTAGCGTCTTCTTTACAATCATACAGACTATTTGATACATTGCACTTTAGAAATTATTGTATACACTGTACAAATTAAATCTAATGCAATGCAAAAATATTAGGATTAGGGGGGTGTGGGGGGCTTTGCCCCCACGGATCTGTGAACCATAAATTATCCCAGCACCCCCTAAATTAACACCCTATGTGCGCCTATGGTACGACACAAATAAACAATAACAAATACCACTACCAGCTATAACTTAAATATTGTATAAATAAAATTAAAATTTTAAAAATCATTTATTATGTACCTATTAGTCGTGACTCGTGATTGATCAAATTTATTTTTCTTTCATTTAAAGTGTAAGCAGTGCTTACAGTGCTTACATGCACGCTACGCCCCTGGAGCCGTAGGTACAGGGGCGTAATTACGAGGGGGGATATGGGGGATAGATCCCCCCTCCATAAGCTGTATTTATATATTGTCTTATACAGTTATACCTACAAATAGTTCAAATAAAAACTTATAAATTATTACGAAACTAAAAAAAAAAAAAAAGTTTAAAAGTTGTGTACCCGTATATAAATATTTACCCGTTGACGATAAGCATGATTTCAAAATAAATGGTCTGATTCATTTTAATTCTTATTTATTAATAAACATTGGGGGCCTCGCCACACACTATACCTAATTTTGAATAGATTATAGATGGTAAGTAATCCGATAATGGGAAAAACCACCATTCCATAAACATAATATAATAATAAAAAGGTGGGCAAGTGGGTGTCGCTATGCTGTACAGTAGGTTACAAGTGGGTCACTGTATAATGGATGATATTAAATTTGAATTCAACGATATAATATCATTGTATAAGAAAAACGATTCTGAGCGGAGACGGTGTCAGTCTATGTATAAGACATATTATATGCATATCTATAATGGTATTAAACAAAAAATCGACCTATAATAAATTCCAAATTAATCATATCACAAAATCCATTAGGTACAACTGGTAACGCGTTATACATCAATAAAAACCGTGATACCATCATAGATATATAATAGTACACTTTGTCACTTTAGAAGTTTCAAGTACCCACGAATAATATTATTCAATCACAACAAAATAACTGAAATAGTTATTCTAAGTTTTTTAATATGTAATTTCGTCCAAATTTGAATTTAAAATGTCTGTAAAAAATAACTGTGTTCATATATTTTTTTAGATTTTTTGGTTACAGTATGAACTATTTACGAGAACATTTGTGTTGAATTTGCAATCCTTAGCTATAAAAACTGAACATTTTATAATTTATTAATTACAATGATTGATAATTTTCGAGATTTTGATAAATTTTGTCAAAATTCGATCTTTAAATGCTTATAAAAAAAAATGTTGCCTATGTATTTTTAATATTTTTCAACTGATATTGTAATAATATATCAGAAGCCTTGTATTAAATTTTTACACATTTTGGCAGAACAGATAAAACTTTATTGATATATATAAAAGAAAAAAACTAAAAAAATTGAAAACTGTAAATGTCAGTAAACGGCTCAAAAAGAGTCAAAATATTTTCAA